AATAACTATCAGTCGAGCATTGAGATGGCTCATTTTGAGGCGTTGTATGGTAGGCCTTCTCGTTTTCCTGTTTGTTGGATTGAGGTGGGTGAGACAGCCGCCTTAGGGCCAGACATTGTCTTGGAAACCACTGAAAATATTAAGTTGAATGGCAACAGTTGTTGACTGCTCAGAGCCGACAAAAAAGTTACGCAGATAGACGGAGACAATCATTATCCTTTGAGGTGGGAGACCACGTGTTTCTCAAGGTTTCTTCACGAAAAGGATTGCTACGGTTTGGAAGGAGTGACAAGTTGTCACCTCGTTTCATTGGGCCATTTGAGCTTTTGGATTGAGTGGGCGAGGTTGCTTACAGATTGGTATTGCCACCACAGATGGACAGGGTCTATAATGTTTTTCATGTTTCAATGCTACGAAAGTATGAGCCGGATCTATCACGTGTTTTTGAGTTGGGTTGATGTTGACATTGATGAGGATGTTTCTTATGAGGAGGGACCCGTTCAGATTCTTGACACTCGGGACAAAGTGTTAGGGGGTAAAACGGTGACTCTCGTGAAGGTTTTGTGGCGACATCACGGTGTTGAGGAGGCTACGTGGGAATGGGAACAAGATGTTTGTTCTGCGTATCCGAGTTTGTTTTCTTCCCCAGGTATGACTTGATTTTGGGGACGAAATCCTTATATATTGGGGAAAATGTAAGGACTTGCATATTTATCATTTTTCGGACATGTTGGCATTCATGCATTTTATTTTATTGTCAAAAATTATGATTTATTTTGTAAATGTGTTTAATTTTAATTAAATGTCATTTGTTTATTTCATAAAGGGCATTGTGGATTTTTTGTTTTACAAATGGCATACATGGTATTTAATAATTTTATAAAGGGCAAAGTAGACTTTTACTATGCAAAATAACATAATTGACACTTGGTTAGTTGTGAAAGGGTAATCTTAACTTTTATCATGCAAGTGGCATGAATGGTATTTAGTAGGAAATAAAAGGACTTTTGAGTCATTTCATATGGTTTTGGTTTTAATCAATGGAGGGGATGACATGTGGAGGTGTATGTGGCTGCACCATATCCATGCATTTGATAGCATATGGTATGACTATTGTTTTGTTCCTAAAAACCATTCTGCAAAAAACCAATTTTCGTGTTTTTTATTTCCTTTCCTTAGTGATACTTTTTAAGCTAAATTTTGGAAGCTTTGTGCTGGGATTTTGATGGGGCTTTGTGAAGGAAAAATGTTCCTTGGGTAATGAGGGTTATTTTGATATCAAACTTGAGTCCATTCTTTTATTGTTGGGTTTGGAAAGTGGTGTTAAAAGAAGAGGGTTTTGGTTGCAAACAAAGAAGGAAATGTTCTTCATTTTTTTTCTTGGAAAGCTTTGATCCATCATTTGGGCTGCTTTAAGTTGTGGCTGTTGTTGAGTTTCAAGCTTCTTTGAGGTAGGATTACTTAACTCTCACACCCTTTACCTTCAAGGAATCAATTCTATGTGTTTTGTGCTTAAAACATAGGCTGCTACTTGTTTTTCACAATTCTGGAATCACAGCGACCTGAATTTCAAAAGATCATAACTTCCTCATTTTAAGTCCAAATTAAGTAATTTTTTAGTCTAAATTGACTAGCACGAAACAATCTTTCCAACGGTACCAATTCCAGCCTTAGATTCCAACTGTGTAAAAAGTTATAACCCTGTAAACATTGGCTACCAAGTTCGTGCTTTAACCTGCAGAATTTTCTACACAGCGACCTGAACTTCAACTGACCATAACTTCCTCATTTTAAATCCAAATTGAGCTATTTTTGAGTCTAAATTGACTAGATCAAAACAAGATTTCCAATGATACCAATTTCAACCTTAGATTCCAACTGTGGGAAAAGTTATGACCTTGTAAACACAAGCTACTACTTGAAAATTAGAATATTAGTTGTTATTATATTTCTTGAAATGTGAAGTTTTGTACTTGATTTTCTAAATGTTGTTAAGTACTGTTTATGTTGTTATGTGGTAAATGTGAGTCAGAAAGCATGCTTCTTGTGTTATACAACCATGGATTAATTAGCCTATTAATTTACCATGCTTGTGTGTGGATTAAAATGCAATATCATGATATTGTATATGAGTTGAGATTTCCATATTTATTCCATTATCACATGAGCATGGGGATGATGTTGGAATGAAAAGGAAAGTGAAAATGTTTCATTAAATGGTTTTGAAAACCGAATAACAGGGAAGTGCCTCGTATCTGTGAGTTTGGAAAATAAAAGGGAATTGAATCAATGATTTCAAAACCGGATAAGGAGTTACCTTGTCTGTGCAGTTAATAGGAATCTAGAGGAGACGTACGGAGTGGCTCTGCGCATAGTTGTGTCACTAGAGCCCCAAAATGATCACAAAGAGTGGCCTTGTATCAGGGATAGATGACTAACTCTCTTCTTGTAGTACTGGGGAGCAGCCTTGGGCGGATTACATTAACTTTTTGTGATAAAAATGGGATTTTGGGAAGTGAGAGGTGTCAGTGACATTAGCATTAGCATTGGCATTGCATGACACTTTATTTTATTATCTTATATGATATGTTGCTTTCCCGAGCCTATATGACCCCTTTATCTTTTATCCGTTCTTTGTTTGGATTCACGGAAGTATTAATGAGTGCGCTTTAAGTAATTCCTGCTGAGCTGTGGTTACTCGTTCCTATTTTATACACATCTTTTCAAGTCATGGCACGGATGATATGGAGGGTGTTCCTTCTCAACCGTAGACAGAGTCAGGGTTGGTGTTGTCATGTTTTCATTTCGCATAATAGACTATGTTTTGTATTATATTTCTTATAATATCCCAGCCATGTAATAAATATTATTTCAGACTTTAAAACTTTAAAATTATAATATTTGCATTGTATCTATGTATTTTCAATCTTGATTTGTTTTGTAAAGGGAAATAGATAGGTGGATGTGTGGTTAAGACAGATTACAGGGATATTTATTGATTTTGAGACTGTGATTGTTTGTGTGTTGTGTTCACAATCCGGACTACGGTATAGGGGCGTGACAACATCATATTACAAAATTGAAATAATTCAACCAATATTGAATTATTTATAATTCAATATTCAATATTCTACTTATACAACATGTTTTAATTTCATATAATATTGAACACATTAATATTTAGCATATTGTCATATAATAATATATATATCATTATTTTATTATATCTCAATTATTAGTATAATCTTTACTTTTTTTATATCTGAAATAGAAGCATCTAATAAATTATACGCAAGGAAGAGTCTGTCTTAAGATTGTTGGTAAATATATGCTTCATGACATTTAAGATATAACAAACCTTATACTAATATGTCATGAGATAATTAATAATACGCTAATAAATCATTAATTAAATATGCAACTCGAAATTTAATTAAATATGCAAAATAAAGTAATAAAGTAATAATAATAAATAAAGAATCTGGACCGAGGCTAGTATTGGATACTATGTCCTTAAGACAGATTCGCCCCGTTATGGTTCTAACGAACTCAGTGGCGTCTATCTCCCAGGATACAACGGTCTACACCTACCAGTAACAGCACTATAAACTCGTAGATACGGCGAACCTTCTCCGTGTAATATTCTCTCTGACTTAAAAATACAACTATACTATATAAATGCTGAATTGGGTGCAATCCGAACCAAATGGTTTGGACCAATCTTAATATGGCTCAATGAAATTGGATTAGGGTCTAAGTGGTTCGGACCACTTAACCTATGGTTTAAACCCGCTTTGGTTGGGTTCAAGTTTAGAGAGGGAGATAGAAGAAAATGAAAATGAATGATTTGCAAATGATCAAAAGGAGGGTATTTATAGGCAACAAGGTGTTTTTTCGGGTAGGTGTGTTTCTTCATCATTTGACACAACCATATATATGTGTGTCTCTTCACACTGGACACATCAACTCTTATTGGTTGCAATGGTTCACATGGTGTCTGTTCACTAATAGACACATCCACTCCAATCGGTTACAACGGTTCACATGAATATTTATGTCTGTTGGTTTTGAGTTGCAATCCTTTAAAAACATATGCAACTATTTGAAAAATAGATGCAACCCTTTAGAAATAGATGCAACCCTTTGGAAAAAAAACTAACTTTTAATTTAAATTCAAAAACCAACCACCAATTTAAATAAGTCCAGCCAAAAATTAAAGGCCTAATCCAAGATTTCATTTAGTAAAAAACATAATTGGACTTTACAACTAGGCCCAAGCCCAAGCCCAAGCCCAAATTTGGCTTATTAAAGTTCAATTGGTTTTAACATTTTTTCCACATGGGACAAACACTTCACACATTTTGCATACCCGTTTAGGCTTATCAAAACACTACACTTTGGAGCTAATTTCTCATTCACCTGGAAACGGATTTGAGAAAGTAAATATACCACGTTCATCTCCTTGAGGAGAGAAACGAGTTCGTTTAGAGATCCGCAAAAAATTATTAGCGGAATCTATTCCAAATCTCATCCAAAATTTATGTTTTTAATGTCCCCGTTTTTAACATCTACAAATTGTCAAAAGCTGCAAATCGTCAAATGCTTGTTGTAGATAGTCAAAATATTTAGAGTTGTTGCAGATCGCATTGAATCGGAAGAGAAACTTCGTCTGAAAAATTGGGGACGGAAGTGAGGTTTCTAAAATTAAGAATAATGAAGAATAAACATGAATAAGTCGATTAATAAAAAATTACGTACCACATCATTCTGTCCATTCTGTCCAATAATCCAGTGCATGGCTTAGGTATAACCATCATTACTCTTTTTATATTGGACTGGTCGCGCTGGAGGTGAAGTTGAGCTTACATTGGGCTGACTTGCAAATTAATAAGCCATAGCTTCTTAAAATTTGGAAAATGTCCATTGGGCCAAGGCCTATTATGGGTGATACGTCCAGTATAGCCTTTTCCGCGTCTCTAATACATTTCGTGGCCCAAACGAACCCAGAATACAATTTGGTCAGAAAGGGAGGACCGTTCAGAGCTTTCTGAGACGAAGAGCTCGAAAAATGGCGACAATGGCCGAATCATCAGAAGAGAAACCAAACACATCGTCGTCAACACAACACGTCGATCACTCTCTGCACAAGAAACTGGGAACCCTAGAAGTGGCGACTCCGTGGATCGACTACGCAGTTCAACAGGCACAGTTTGCGCAAAAGGTCATCGAAGAAACCGTGGACTCTGCAATTTCAGTCACCAGATCTCGACTCGATCAAATTCGAACCACTTCATCGGCTCATCTCCACCAAACCATTGTAATTTTCTTTGCTACCCATTTGCTTTATTCCCCGTTTGGTTGCCGATAAAAGTAAAGACAATAAGAGAGAAACAAACAAGGAAGAAGTTTAGGTACTGTTTTATATGCACAACGGTTGGATTATTGGTCACAGCGTTTATATTAAGCGATGAAGCCTGAAATTAAACAAAAAATATCTGATTTTCTCTCTCTTTACTCGGGAACCAATCTGAATGCAATTACTTTTCAGGAAAAAATAGATTTAAACTTAGAAAATTATGCATATTTATTTATTTTTAATGCGCGTTTTGTTTACCTCAGAACAAGAGAAAATAACTATCTATATGGTTCAGCTCAATTGCTGATTATATAGTGTTTTTGGGTGTTTTAAATAATGAACTATCTAAAATCAAAATATCTATATGCATATATTTTTTTGACATTTTACCAGAGATCAAAGTTGCCACGAAAACAGGAAAAATATGATAAAATGAAGCGTGAATTTTATGACAGGCTAAGTAGGCTGGAGGTTTGTGTTCTGTCAAAACAATGGAAGATTTAGGATTCATTGTTTCGATTTATTTTAACTTCAACACATTTTTCAAACAAAACGCACAATAGTTTATCTTGCACATTGGTTATTTTACTATGAATATTTATATTCTTAAATTGCGAATCTGGTTGTAGGATTCTTTGCAAGATGTCAAGTCAGAGTATGGTGTTTACGAGGATATCGTGCATGGAAAGATTAAAGGTCTGTTAATTTCGAGTTGTTATGCATTACATTGACATTCAACATGGGTTTCTTTCAGTTTTTTATTCTCTCCCTGTTGATTTTCATAATATTGTTTTTATTTTTATTTTTGGGTGTGCAGAGGGCATTATTGTTGCTGCTTCCCATCCAGTGCTTACATGTAGTGCTGCTGCTGGCGTAGGATGTCTGGTTTTGAAGAGTATGGTTCTAGTTTCTGTAAATTAAGCATTTTTAAGCTGATGATTGTGTTTGAAGTTTGATCCATTTGGTTAAACGGCCCTGACTAAGTTTATGAACACATTAAATATCACATTTGGTTGAGTTTAAAAACACGTCATGAATACCCCAGCAAGAAAAGAAAATAGAATGATAAATGAGTTGAGTTTTGTATCTTACAGTGCAATTTATGCTGCTCTATCCATTATAAAGTAAGTGTTGTAATGGTATCTAATTAGAAATTGATTAACCAGTCTTTTTTCTGTGATTTGATTACTATTTGCAGGGCCGAGGCGTTTCTTGTATTACAACACCTTGCGCCTTTTTGTGAGTGAAGAGGTAAGCATTAAGTGCATATCTCAGTTGCTGGTTAAGATTTACTCCCCCCCACCCAACACACACACACAAATATTAAATGAATTTGAGTATTTTATTTGTTTTGGTATGTCTTGTATATCAATTCAAGTTGTTTTACAAGCAATGTCATATGCATACGTACATATCTACGAGGAAAAAAACCTGAAATATATGTTTTTCTGACCAGCAACTAAGTGTTCATTGGCCAGAAGTATAGAACTTGTAATTGCCAAATTACCAAATTATTTTCTTAGTCAGAGTTGTGATATTAAAGTGCTTAACTTATATCTCAAGTGGTGTCAGATTCGCGGGGTTAAGGCATTATGAAAGTCATTTTCTATTTGTTTGATCTTCTGGGCTTTGAAAACTTGTGGGCTAGTATTATTTGAGAATGGGAGAGAAAGATTTGCTGGAATTTGAGTTTTTTCCCCCCTTCATTTTTTGCATTGAGGTGGTCGTACTCTCTCTCTCTCTCTCTCTCTCAATTTATTACACATTATGATTTTCTTCTTCTAAGATTGTTGGTGCATATGAATATGTCCTTCCGAATGGTTTCATAGTGCGGGAGTCTAGTCATTGCTGTTCTGGTACCTCCTTTTTAGTTTTTAGTTCACTGATTCAAGCCGAGTTGTGCATAAGTGTTCAGACTTTAAAGAGGATCGAGACTGCATTTGGTATACAAAGAGCTTTAGTCAAAATTTTCTTGTTCACTATTCCTTGGGTTATAAGGTTTGAAGTTCTATTTGTAGCCTCGATTAGAAAATATAAAATAAAATTTTATGCTGCCTACTAAGATTAGAACTTTTCTTTTTGACCATCTCATTCTTGATGCCATGTCCCTACACTAGTACAGTTTTATTTTCAGTTGTTATGCATACTCTTTATGCTGCCTGATCAGATAAATGCTATTGCAATTTTTTCCAGTGCCATTGAAAGATGAAATATCTTTTTCTTTTCTTTTGCATTTATTTACTGAATTTTTGAGGGTCTGTTGCATTTATTCCTCCTGGAGTACCATGCTGAACTGAGAGAAGTGTATCCATCATTTTTTTTGATAGATGAGAAGTGAATCCATCATGAAAAATGTCTTCCAATTATCAATTTGTCTGTTAAAATACTATAATTATTTTAAATTTCATTTGTGGCTACAGTCCTTGCTTTCCAGAGCTGACACTAAAGTGAAGGGATTACGGCAATCAATTGATCTTTTGAAGGCTGAAAGTGAAAAGTTGGAGGTGATCTTTTTGCTTTTCTGTCAGTTTTAATTGATGATGACTCTTTCAGGTTTTTGCAGGAAATGTATCATATTCATGTCTCAAATGAATGAATTTGTGTTCTTTGATGTACTGGTTCCAAGCTCTCTTTTCCGCATCCACCCCCTCCATTCATGTTTTCCCCCTATTTTTGGCGGGGTGGGGTCATTTGTGAGTAGCGAGACATTAACTTTGGCAAGTGCAAGGGAATTTTGAGGTGATCGTGTCGTCTTAATTATATTTTTCCTTTAAGAAGCACTCATTAGCAACTACCTTACAAGGAATTACTTGAAAGCTCAAAAAATTGGCCTTCTGATGACTGAATGGATCCAGAACTTGTAATTGTAAACATGTCATAGAGGGATGTCTAATCTGTCCTCTCACTCTATTATGAATGCAAGGGAAAACTATGAAGTGTTTCCGACCTGATAGCATACTAAATAATTAAGTGAAGGAAGAACTGAAACTTCAGAGAAACCATTGGACAAATAATTGTGGGTCCATGTTACCAGGCAGAATTTAGCTATTTTTAATGAAATTTTACTCATAAAAAGAAGAAAAATAAATAGTTAGTAGTCCACTTTCCATGCCCGCCCTTTAATTATATATTCGCTGGCCAACAATTTCCATACGCTTATTGATAGTTGATGGCGGAATTTAAGCAGATCAGCAGGAAAAAAAGTTAATAGTTTCCTTCTCTCTCTCTCTTTCTTCGTCCAGGGAGGGTGGTGGTGGTGGTTGGCTAAAAAATCTATTAATCAAAGTTTCTGTCCTGTCAACAAATGAGGAAAAGGAAAACAAGAATTAATATACTTGGACAGGAAGTTTTTAAGGAATATAAAAAATTCAGTTTACTGGCAAACTCATTTCAATATGTCTGTATAGTGTACACTGCCTGACACCTATTAGTATAATATACTAACTGTAGACTAATGCTTGATCCTGCTTTAAACACGTGATATATGATAATTGTTTCAGAAGAGAGCATTGCAAGCAGAAGAGGAAATGAAAAGAGGAAGGACCAAACTCAGGTTAATACTTATTATAGATGAAGTGAATTTTATTGTTCAAATTTTTTCAAGGGGCTAGTTTTCATGTTCAATTTTTCATTCCATGCAGACAAGCAGGGAGTCAGATCCAAGGTGTTATTCGCTCAGCTTATAAGATTGAAAGACAAGCAGATGGTATGCAAATACTCTCTTTCTAAATTAATCAAATTGAGCAAGGTTTGATCTCTAATTGTTTACATCACATCAGGCTTGAAAGATGTCATGGGAGAACTTCCTAGTAGAGAAGCATCCCGATTCCGATCACAAGTAAGTTCACTGGTGTTGAGTGTGGAATTTTCTTCAATGTCGTTAATTTTGTTATACATAAAATTTTCTAGTTTACACCCCAATTTTCTAGTTTACACCCCGTCCCACCCACCCACTCACACACATATACATTGTAAAGAAACTTTGGGCTTGTTGCTTCTGCCATGGTTCAATTTCTTTTCTCAGATTTGGGTTGGTCATAGTTTGGTTGGAAATATTTTTTCCACCACCTGGGAATGGCTGATACACAATTAACAATGACTTTTATGGATAGACAAAGCATTGGTTTATGTATTTTCTCTGTTTTCTGAAACTTCCTATATTTTTGCCTCCTTTACTTTGAAGCCCTTTTTTGTCTTCATGATAATCAGAAGGTGCCATGAACTTTCAGTCACCCAGGTTGGATTCTTTTGCAGACACAGTATGGGATAAGACCATTCATATTACATAATTTAAAATGCCTTATCCTGTTTATTCTGTCCATTTGTGTTGACAACACTTTTTCAATTTCACTATTCCCATCCATACTTGTAAAGCCTGGTCTCTCTCTATACAATGTTGTTGATAGAGCCTTTTCTTCTCTTTTGTTCCATTTATTTTGTTATTACCCTCAAATTTGTGTTATGGTAAAGTTGAAAGATATTTTTGGTTTGCTGTATGTTTCTTTCTTCTAAAAGACTTGATTGAGTTCACCACTAATAATAACCCTATGATTGGTTCAATATTGAAGTCTACGTAGGTAGATAAAATGATACCAATTCATGAATTCTATGTTATTTGTACCCACTGTATATGCCAGCAAGGGTTTTCAATCAGTTTTTGCATGTTCTTAATGGAGAGTGCTGCATGTATCTACTTTAAATCAGCATCTTCAGTCTTTACTCTTTTTTCTCTCTCTTTTTTTTATTTTTATTTTTTATTTTTTATTTTTATTTTCATATATATATGTATATTTTTGTTTGCCTTTTTTCCCCCTCTGTAAGTTATAAAGATTTATTTATTTTGTATTATTTTGCTTTCCTGACTGTAGAAAAAAAGTCTCTCCCCCTTAATTCTGGAAAACTGTAGATACCATTTATATGGTCTTTCTATAAGAGTGTATATATATATATTTTATGTAGATAGCATAGTAGGATGGATACCCATGTGTCTTGAAAGAGGCAAAGTTACTCTCTGGCCTCGAAATATATGGTCAAGAATCCCGTTCTTAATTCAATTTATTTTGCTTGGGTCTAGGGGTTTCTTTTTATGGTAGTAACAGAGTAGTTCTTTTAAGAATGCAATGATGGGCAGCTACATTCAGTCAAATCTGCTATTTATTAGCCTTCTTCCTGCATATGAGCTGCAGACAGGTTGGAAGAGTGCCGGTAATCAGCTCTAGGAGTTTGTCTTCCATTGTAGTTGTGGTGACAAATTTTATGTCATATAAGTATTTTACCAGAATAATTTGGATCAAGTGCATGGATCAGAAAACCATATTAGAGAAAAAGTTGGAAAATTCAACAGTTTATTATTGGGTAAAAGAGTTTTGCATGTTTGAAAACAAAGAGGAGGAATAGGCTTCCATTCAGGAGTTTCTGAATAATCCAATAATTATCTTACAATATTCTAATAGGAGCTAAGGTCTTAAATAGAGAATGTCCTTAATTTAACGTATTTGTCTGTTTCTTTGCTTCATTAGAAGTAAATTAGCAGCTTGTGTGGGTGAAAATAAATCTTATACTTTACATTCCAGCTTTTACCATGCATTGGATGGATCGGAGTTCATATGCTTGTGTAATGGTGCCCCCTGAACAATAAAAAATTTGACCCCGTTGTCTTTGTTATTTATATATGTACATAGTTGTCATGTACACAGCACACACACAAACACACACATATGAGAACAAAATTGCTTATGGTGGGTTTTTCTGTTAGGTTTCCAAGCTTGCTTGGGAGGCAAAGCGAGAGAGGAATGCTTTAAACAAGGAGGTTACAAAGATCAGTAATTACGGAATCTCAGTCTGAAAATTCACCTGTCAGCACACTCTCAGCAACAGATTCCATCTGGAAGTTTGCCAATGTGCACTGTCTTGTTAAAGTGGACTGGAGCTCTATGGTTGCAGTCATTGGATCTGGTTAGAGATGACTTCTTTTGTTCATTCAAAATAAATGTGATCCTTGCTACATATGGCTCAAAATGTTGTGAAGGAAGACGCGTATTTTTCCCAGCCTCCCTTTTGTTTTCGCAAGTATACATAATATTTCTTAGTGCAAGATGTTTTGAGTACCTGAATCCTGATACATGTCAAGGTTGAGAAGGCGATGAGTCCATGACTTGGATTATAGTCCTATAATTTCAAAATTTTGATGGGTGTCAAGTGTACGGTTTCCATAGTGATTTTAAAGCCACATTTCGTTGGGTATAAGTTTTAGCAATGCTAAATTCTCTAGCTTTGATTCTTATTAGATAACCATCACCAGTCTGCTACGTCGTCCAATTATGGTTTGTTGAAGTCTGCCGACGAAATTGAGCCTCGGATACTGCCCCTTGGCTCTGTAGTTGTGAAATTTGGTCTACCATTGATGAATATACGAATCATGGGATCTCCGAAATCGCTATGGTTTGATGGCTACAATTTTAATATGAGTATTTTTGTTGAAACAAGACCAGAACCCGAGACCACCTACTCTAGAAGGTCGAATTAATTTCTTATATTTAAATCATTACTCTCAATCTGATCTCGTTTATTTGGCTCTAGGATTATTTGTCAGGTTTCAATTACTGAATGGTTTGGTCATGCTTTTCTGACTCAAATCGACTTGCCTTTTGTTATGAACTTCCATTCATATGGTGCAATTAATAAAAGTCTTATATCATATGATTTTGGATGGTTATAATAATCTTGTAAGGTTGTATATAATGTAGATTCAACACTGTAATTAGGAACAATGATGACCCAAAAAAAAAAAAAAAAAATTTTGTTCACGGAGACACCGAGAATGGTGGTGAGGGAGAGTGAAAGATTCGAATAAAATGGAGAGCCAAAGTCTTTCTAGACTTCACTTCATTTTATTCAAACTATTACGGTATTTATTTAGCTTCAAAAGAATGACAGAGAGAAACACAAGATATAGTAGGTAATTGTTTTGATGGTGGAGTTAAAAAGTGGCTACTGCAGGTATTTGGTAGCTGAAGAATCAAAATTCACTTCAGCACACAAATTTTATTTATTTATTCCTATAAATGTAATTCCACTATATTTATTTTAAAATTTCGTTGTTAAATTTATTTTTGAAAATTTACCATTTATCCTAAAATTTTACCGTTTAAAACGGTGAATTTCACCCTGGTGCAACCTCAATAAGTGTACCAATTGAGTCAAGTAGTTGGCTGACCCACAGCAGGCATTTGGGGTTCTGCCATCACCAGAGGCGGGTGGGCCCCAAGAAATTAGTAGCAATCACCGTCTGATCTTACACTGCCCTATCTGATCTGAACTTACATACACTGCCCTATCAAACGGAACAAATCTTTCTTTGACCATCATTGTTCATGCACTCTCCCCAATACAAATACCATACTCTCACCGCTCAGTTCACACTTCACTCCCTATCCTCTATTTAATCCTCTGCTCCTTTCTTTACACTGGCATGTGATCACCCCCTTCTCTCTCCATATTATACTCCTATATAGATATAGATATAGATATAGAGAGAGAAAGGGAGAGAGATTGAGAGTTTTATATAGAGTGAGAATATTCGTTCAGCCTCATCTGCAACTTATCACGTGGAAAAGCCACCCTGATCACACAAAAAGTTACTCACTCTCTCTCCTCAAATCCGGTAGTTGAAACTTTTAAACGAAGAGAAAAGAAACTTAAATGATTTTTTTTTCCGAGAAAATTCAAGAGAAGAAAATTCGAGAGAGAAATTTTCGGATAAGCTTAACAGTACTGGAAAACGAAAAAAAAGACTCGGAGGTTGCGTCACAATGATACAATGACAAACGTTATGATCACGACACGTGTTTTATGACGTCAGCAGACTTCGAAATCACGGTGGTAGAACTGTTCCTCTTGTTGTTCACGGAGTTCTTTCTGTCGCCGGAGCTCGATGACCTTCCTGTGAGAGTTCGAGTGCTGAGTCAACACGAAGGTCGGGCTCGCAGCCGGACGGTACTCCGGAACGAGCCGGCCGGACTTGTACCGAACGCCGCACGCATTGCAGAGCGTCTTTGGCCCCAACGGTCCGGTTCGCCATTGCGGAGTCTTCTCAGATTGGCAGTGCGTGCACCTACGCGCCACTGACTGCGACGTCGACGACGACGAAGATCTGTCTCTGTCCCCGGTATGCGCCGACGCACTTGATGAGCTCTCTCTTTTCTTCGCACCGTTACTGTTAGTAGTATTCGTCTTTGGTTTCCCGACAATTGGAGTCTCGGATTCCAGAGAGGAAGTCCAGCTTTTCTTAGCCGAAGCCGCCCTGGACCTCTTGCTCCGTGACCGGCCGTGAGACGACGTGTCTGGTCGGAAACTTCCAATTACGGCAAGCTCGTTCTTCGGAAAATCCGTGAACGAGTCGTCAACGAAGTTTGAAAGCCATTCGAGCTCAGCTATATCATCATTCTAACAAAAAATCACCGAAAAAAAAAAACAAAATCAGGCAAAAATTTCACAAACAATAAAAAAAATTCACACAATTTTCCATACATATATAGTATATTGTAAGAGGTAAGCTAGAAATATGTGCTTACGGGGACGCAGAGGTCGTCTGTGAAATCAGTGGAGTGGTGGATGGGATTAGGGTTATGGAAATGAGCGGCGGAGGCGGTGGTTTTGTTTTCTGGCGAAGGGAGGTGGTGGAGGTCAGAGTCGGCGGCGGCGGCGGTGGTGGAGGAGAAGAGTTCGTCGTTGGAGAAATCAAGAAGGTCGTCAATGCGAAAGAAGTCCGGTGCGGAGACACTACCGTAGACGTCCATCTCCAGTGAGATATAGATATAGATATAGATATATAGATATAGTGAGAGAAAGTGTGTATAAATATATAGAGAGAGAGTGATAAAGGTAGGGTATTTATTTGGCGTATGGAGGGAGTATGTTTCTCTCTCAAGCACTCTCCCTACAGTGGTGTGGTTAGAGAGAGAGAGAGAGAGGGAATCAGGGGAGAGGGAGGGGGTTTGATATAGGGATGAGTTAGTACATTGATGTCAGGGGTGGGTTTGGGTTGGGGGGCAAAGGAACGTGGGGGCAGTGACCATGCAATGTGAGGGCTCAGCTCTCTCTCTCTCTCTCACACACTCTCACTTTCTCTCTCCTCAATTGGATTATTTATTTTAATATGTGGGTATTGGATAGGCAAGAGTGCATGGTTGCTTTGTGCCAACTGTAACTTATAGTGACCCCTTATTTTATTTTTTGGATTTTCTTCTCAATTTCAGTGTGCCTTTTTTGCAAATGTCATTAGTTTAATCGCTTGAGTTCATACACTAAAATCCAATTCAATACTGGATATTGGCTGGAATAATAATATTTGCACAAAAATACTCTAAATGTAAATAGATTTTTGCTATATCACTTATAAAAAGAAAATAATTCTCCTCTACAGTCTTGGGAATCCCTCTTTGATAATTCGAAAAAAAATTCGGAGCGGTAGCTGATTAAATTATATATATATATATATATATATATATATATGGTGGTAAATTACAAGATTAATCCATTTACATGGATTTTTTTTCTTCTTCTTTTAGTTTAACATCCATAATTGACTAAAACGTCCATTACAAAACTTAGGTGCATGTAAATTAACTGATTATTATTGACAATTATTAGCATTTTGTACAAAGAAAGTCAATAATGTGCTTATACAATTATACTTCACGAGATCAAGGATCATTTCCAAGCTTTGTTTTTGTTTCCGCCTTTTAAGAGATGAAAGTTCTAGTTCAATTCCGCTGCATAGAATTTCAAAATTAAAGAAAAATTTAAAACAGGCTTGATTTGTAAGTATGAAAACTAAGTTATAAAAACATTTGTTCTCAGATAGAAATTATTCTCATGCGCTAGTTTTAGGAGAATTGAACTCTGAATTTATAGAGTGGGGCCCTAAAGGCCCTTTATCAATCGGCCGGCACTGCCACACGGCCCACACCTAAAAAAGTTTAGTTCAAAATTAAAAAACAATTAAACTAAACTTTTTTCGGTTTGAATTCCAAAGTTCTAATTTCGTGTAACCAAATATAGCTTTCAAATATTTATTTGATGCATGTAGGATGGAATCTAACAGCTTGTTGACAAAAAAAATACCATCATTGAATAATAATTCTCAATCACAAAATAAATATCCATCTTTTCATTTTTATTTGAAATAAATGTTACATTTAAAAAGTCAATTTACTATTTTTTATAATATTATTAATTTAATCTTTGTGCATTTAACTTATAAAAATAAATCATTGACCCGTTAGAAATAAATTTAAAAATATTTTCTTAAAAAATTAGATTATCAGGACATTTATTTTGGAAGAGTAACTCTTATAACATTGTTAAAAATAATTTAAAAATATATATCTAGAGAAAATTGATTGAATACTCGTAATTAGTAGTGTTTGGCAAACAAATGTAAGTAGCCAAGGTGGCCAAAAGAGGAGTTGACACGAGTAACGGAGGAGAGAGAAAGTAACGGCAAATATAAAAGTAGAAACCGACGTCCCGTTACGTTCGTTCAGTTACCATGACGCAACCTTTATATAAAGACTAAAAAGAGAGTTGTAGTATTACCGACAGCTGGACAGCTTGCACCAGCTGTCATATCTCTCTACTTTCTCTCTCTAAAACCAGCATCAAATTAGGGAACCGACTTTAATAATGTATAAATACGTACGTACGTACATATATATACACAAGCCTTCTACGGCTCGTAGTCGTATCAGAAATGAGGGTTTGGTGTGGTTCTGGAAAGTACGGTCCGTACGGTGACATTTTTTCGTATAGAGGAGGGTGATTATGCATCCTACGTGTACCACTTTAAACTTTTAAAAAAGGTGTCGCCAACTTGAATTTCGATCCACGTCAGATCTCTGTTGTGCCATGTTTGGACCTCACCACTTTATGCCTTTGTGCATTGTATGTATATTATCTTCATCTTTGCTTTTATGGGTCACGTGAATTTTGTTTTGTCACAAGTCATTTTTTTTTCAAATAATTTAATTTTTTAAAAACTCATCAGTATTACTTAATTTCATATTAGGTTTTTATTTTATTTTAATTTATATATATATATATATATATATGTGTGTGCATAATATAGAATTCAAATAGAGCAATGGTTTTCACATTTCACAAACATTTCAAGGTTTGCAGCTTTTTATAGAACATACTTTTGAATGCATTAATTGCTTTTCTCACCTTCCCATCCCTTTTGGTGTGTGTCCGAGATTGAGAGTGTATCAATTTATTGTCAATTTTATTTTGAAAAGTCAATTAAGTCTTACGAAACTGTAAACTGTGGTGTTTACTTAACATGGTCGGTGACTCAAAAATTCTATATTTATCGCATATCATTAAATTATCATGTGTATCTATATTGGCCGTTTACCTCAACCCTTTAAGTGGACGTCTCTAAACTCCTACCAAGGTAAATAACATTGGAATTCAATATTAATTACATAAAATATGTAACCCTATTGGAGTAAAAAATTAGAGTAATTGCTAATGATTATGCCAAATTAGTTCTATTAATTTTTTATATATATATATAAGATACTGTAGCTCATTGGTTGGAGCAAATCCGCTTACGTGTGAATATGATTTAATAATTTAATTGCGTTGACGTTTCGTCATTTAATTGGATGCATCAGGCTCATCAGGGAAAATAACAATCCCAATATTACTACTATAATAATTATTAGATATATATATACACACACATATAAGTATTTTAAAATGGACAGGGTTTGATGAGCACATGACAATGCACGTGCAGTGCTGCTGCTTCGGGATCACAATCGCCCCGTCCTGTCACGTGCTTCAATAATGTCTCTCCCTACTATCTTAATCAATAATCATACATACACTAGTCGAGGCCCGCTATCTCCAATACAAATTCCACTATTTTATTTTTTTGTATTTTCTATTTTTCATAGAATTTAATTAAAAAAGCAACAGCACACAACATCCTTAGGAGTCTGTTGAATCATTTTAAAAAGTTTTTATTTTTAAAGTATGTTTTTAAATACGATAGTATAAAAAACTTTTAAAATAATCCTACTTTTAGCTCACTACAACAGCTGAATAGAATTAAAATCTTTTATCTTTTGAAATTGATTTTTCTTTGGACAGTTTTATTTATTTATTTATTTTTCCTGCTTTTTGTAAAGACAATATTCTTCTATCATAAAGTAGTATTATGTTAATTTTTGAATAGTTTTTATTTTTATTTCTTATTTTGTTCTTAAATTTATAAAGTGAATTATTTTTTTATTAAACTTCAGTTTATGTCAGATGCCATTTCAAGCACATAAATGAACCACCTCTTAAGTCTTTGAATCTTTCTTTTATATATATATATATATATATATATATATAGTCTTTGAAAAATTCTAATGTATGATTTTTGGAATATGTTGATATATATCGACAATGTGTCATGACTTTTGTTCATGAGTAGTTAATTTTTTTTTTTTTTTTTTTCACCATGAGTTGTTAAATGAGAGGTGCACATACATAAATCAAACAGAGCTGTTAACGAATTACATCACAATAAGTAATAAAAATATAAAGTGCATGTTTAATTTTCTTTAGTATCTCACAAGCTTTAATGGCTGGTCTGTCTTTGCCTTGGTGTAGACTTTTCCAGGCAGGCTGAGACATTGCAAGAGTCGGGTAATCGATTACTCACATAGACATATATGAATTCCACCATTGCAAGAGTTGGAATAACCGATTACTCACATAAACATATATAAACTTCACCATTGCAAGGGTCGGGATAACCCATTACTCACATAGATATATATGGACTCCACCTATAGAGGTGCCACACAGACCGCTTCGAACATAATTCTTCAAAAAATAATAAAAAATAATAACACTCCTTAATGACACTCCATGAAGCTCGCAAAAAACTTAAATGGGCAAAATTTGCTAACCTTGAAAAAATAAGAAATAGAATGTGTAGTACGCTGAACAATAAAGAAGCCATGCGAGTCCACATCACGTGTGCCCATATGCACAATCCACATGCCTAAGGTTGACCCATAATAATAATAATAATAATGAGCATGTGAATCGAATAGAATCATAGACCAAACCAACTTGAATTTTGCTCGATATGGCTTCCTGGCATGCCATCTCAATTCTGGATCTTATACCCGAATTTTGATTTCAAATGACTTCAATAAGTGGCAAAATATAGATACATATACCCTTCAATATATATATATATATATATATATATATATCGGTTCAAAGGCAAAAGCAGATTACTCGTCTCCAAAATTTTACTTGTTCGAAAATAATAATAATAATAATAAACACCTGGGGTACAACATAGTGAAAATGCAGTAGAAAAATTAGGAATAAACACATAATTTTCATTTGAAAGCAACAAAAGTAATATCCATCACTAATTCAGCACAAGGGGAACCTCTTCGATGCAAAATAATTAGATGCAAGATACTGCAACATCATCAGTTCCAGCCTACTCATCCAACGCAAGCCGACCTACAAGTGTGACGTGCATTCAAACAAAACCTAATCCTCTCCATTCTGACTTTCATCTTTGGCAAGCTTTATCATGTCATCGATTCGGAGAATCGTTATAGCTGCTTCAGTTGCAAACTGAAATAACAACAATAATAATAAGAAGAAAAAAGAAAAGAACTTTCATCGGTCCTCTTGGAAGCAAAATAAATAAATAAACACAATTCGGCAACTGCATTATCATGTTTCATAATTTTTACCTGTATTATCTTCACTTTGCTCATCGCAGGCTCAATCACTCCAGCTTCCAAGTTGTTGCGTATTGTTCCCTTTGAAAGGTCTAGTCCCATGCTGCAACAATTTAAGAGAAAGCCAAACCATACTGAAAATTAGAAAAAATGAGTGACAAGTTACATGATAAAAAAACGAGTATATAGCCCAAGGAGTGGCCTAGTTGGCATAGAGCCTCCAGTTATACACCCACTTTCCATTGAGTGGTAAATTGCATGCTAATAAATGAAGTACATAGTCCCGAAGCAGTAGCCAACATGGCATTGAGTCTGTGTGTATAACCCATAACTCTCTAATGTTCAACTCCTGAAGGCTTTAAACCTGTCTCTTGTACCATCAGCCAGACAACTTACGGCTACTTAGGGTAGAAAATGGATAATTGAGACATTGGATGCTTATTCAGACTGGGAAGAAAGCCAAACATTAGAAGAGCCCAGTCGTTCTAGCAGCGGTAAGAGATCAATAACTATTTCACCAATCGAGTCACATGTTTCTAGCACATTCATACAGTAGTACCTAGACTCTTGCCGTAGACCCATACATGCCAAACCACTAATAATGTGTTTCTATGGCATCATAAGGACCACCTATTACTTGCTTCTTTTTTTTTTTTTTGATAGGTAAAGGACCACCTATTACTTGTTAACTGATGGATCAACCGCCACTTGCTCCCTCAGCTTCTACTCGCTGCATGAGCAGAAAGGAGAGTAATGGTGCAGAAAAAATCATCAAACTATCATCCCCTTATCTTGACTGGTACACGTCTTTCAGGTGAATAATCGGTAAACTACATGCACAAAGTATGAAACCAAGGGGTATTGCTTTAAAGAGATCCAAGGCCAATGTTTACTACATTCCACCAAAATTAGCAATGCAAAATCAGCGTTTTCAACTGGATGTTCAACCAGAGAGGAGCCTCTTTCACAACAGTTTGAATGGCTTAGTAGAGACCATGGATTCAAAAAAGGGAAAACAATAATAGTAAAAACAAAATGTGTATGGGCATATAAAGTGTGATCCAGGACTTAATTTCATATAAAAATGAGAAAACTACAAAAACAATGTTGAAAATTTTGCCATGTCCTGCACATTGCTAGAAGGTCAAGAAAGTTGGTATATTTAAACCTACCAACCATATTTAACTCCCACTCAAGTTAGAGAATGATGTCGATGCCCAAGTTCCTAGAGAAAAATATGATGACAAATTTTCTTACCTAATTATAACATCATCCAGATGTGGCTCCCCCCATCCATTGTTGCAGGGGAATTCGGTTGTAGGTGGGGAAACACAATTTTCCAAAACCCTAAATCCACCACCCAAAGTTTGGACTTGTCCAAATAATTTTAGGGGAAACTTCTGGTAAACATGGGGAAACCCAAGGGATGCATTTGAGAAACATCCCAGAAAGAGTTTGAGAATGTTGGAAAATTAATGAACAACATCTTCCCCAAAATTCCTAATTCACTTCAATGTTTTTGAGGTATTGTTTCCAAATAATCCATTTTTTCCCTCTATTTCCTTCTATTAGTTCCTTAAGATTACACTTCAGTCTACCATATTACTTTTTCTAGGGCTTTTGTTTAGTTTTATCGATGTTTTTCAGACACCTATAACAGAAAAAAGAGTTTCTCAATAAGTGTCCCATAGGCCATCCCTTCAATTTCATATCACTCCCCGCTTCACATTGATGAAGGGATTCTTTGAACCATGTTTCCCACTTATTCTCCCCATTCTGGTAAATTTGACTCTAGCTACATAAACCCAGTTTTTACTTTGTCCTTGTTAAAATGACACTGATACCTGATTTGTTCGGTTCGATCATGTTTAACAGGATATTTCAAAATGCTTTGTACCAACTTGTTCTTGCAATAGAGACTCAATAAAGATGGATTTCGAGAAGCCAAACCAAAAGTTCTCTGCCACGGGTGTGTGGTCTGCTACTGTAAAGAATCTAGCTCTCACTGAATGAATCTCACTAGTAAAAGATTTTCAATTTCTACCAACCATTGTAAAATGATCAAATGTGAATCTCTGGTTAACAGAGGATCCACCTTCTGTCTGTATGAATATAAATCCCACATAGCGCGTGCATGAGCTTCACTAACAGATAACAGCAACCCACAATATCAGCTAAGCCTAAACACGTGACTGTGTGAGAGATACGCAAGCCTAGTAACCTCCAAAACCAGTAAAATAATTTGAATCAGTTGATCGCAATATTACTCATACAAAATGTTCTTCACAAACAAAGAAAGCATATACAATGATTACACATGAAATGTACTAAAGCAGCACCAAGGATACCTTGATAAATGCTTCTTATCTGCCTTGGTTTGTGCGGTATGGTGGTAAGCACGCAGTTTTGCAACTAACTCAGTTGCATCCTTTGCAGCATTAACAGCAAGCACCTGCACCACATTGTCACTAATGCATACATCAAAATTACAGAATACCAAAGGTGTGAGAGTGAACCAACACACACGCATTTATATAAACTCATTTCCCAGACAGGACCTTCGGTATGATTAACAATGATTCAGCAAACTCTGCAATTGCCAACTGCTCCCGAGATCCCAAAGTTGTTGCTAGGTACTCCAAATAAACAGATAAGGCTGCCTCAACTGCACCTCCACCTGCAACCACCTGCATTGTCGCAACTGAAGACAATGAGGAACATAGATTGGTAAAAGAATAATTGTTACACTGACTATTGAACTGTTCCTTTACCATCTTCCTTTTTCTTCTTCTGTGTGTGTGTGGTTTTGGGGGGGGGGGGGGGGGGGGGGGGGGGTGGGTAGGTTTAAGCTTACGGGAAAAAGGAGGAGGACAAAGTCAAGCTATGACACCTTCCAAACATGTAATGCAAAAGAATGAAACATGAATATTCCAATTCAGTGTTAAATCCATAAGATACAGCAACTCAAACCCCTCTCCCAGCATAGGGTTGTTCAGACACCAAAAGAAACAAATCCCATATTTTAGATGGCGTTTGAAATGACATTATTTAGTTTCACACTATATTTAAATGTGGCAATATGCCTTTCCATTACAATGAGTAAAACAATTCCATTTTTACAAAATGACCAGATAAGCTCAAGCCTACATATAAATAGATGTTTGACAGTATTCAAACTTCAAATGTCAAATGCAGAGAAAATCCAAACAATGGGTCATTAGCCCAATGGTATAACCTCTCATCCCTCATAAGGGGAGGTGAGGAGATCGAGCCCCATAATTGGCAATTTGTGAAATGTGTGTGTGAATACTTATCTAATAAAAAATTTTAATTAAAAAAAATTTGAAAAAAAATTGCAGAGAAAATCCAGAATGTAACTTTATCAAGAATTGCTGACATCTCTAGGTTCGCCCAGCAATAATAGAAAATATTTTAAAATCTAAAACAACATGCACTATATTATGTAAAATCAGAATTCCAAATCTCAATATAAACACACACACACACACATGTATATTTATTAAAGCAGTCAACAGGTGCCGGGGGTTTACCGTATTGGATTCCAGGGTTCTCTTAACAATTGATAAACTATCATGCAAAGCTCTCTCCATCTCATCAAGCATATAGTCATTTGCACCTCTAAGAATTAAAGAAACCTGAAGAAACAACAGGTCAAGAAGAATCAAACAATACAATAAGTGAATCATAACCATCTTAATGAATTTACATTACATCATAATCTACTCTATACAGGTAACAAAACTAATTTCAATTGATATTTTGCTTTCACATAAAAGCTGTACCAAATTAAAAGGGTTCCCACATTTTTACCAAGGTCGTGAAACAAGGATTCAAAGCATTTATGTTCCAACGTCGTGCAGCAGTAAAAAAATCTACTGTAAATAACTAATCACATACCGCACTTGTGTTTTTGGTCCCCTTTATCAAGATTACATCATCATCGGAAATGCGTTCCTCCACTACTTCATCTGCATAGCCAAGAAGTGAGGAATCAAATGTTTCATCTCCTTCCATATCGGCAAATGTTGAAACCTGAATATTAAGAGTGAATAAGAATGAGAAAAACTGTGTAGCCTGTCACAAAAATTGAAATTTAAAGTAGCTGGCATTGGATGATAAAAAGTTAAATGAATAACAATCATAACATGAGGCTAAACTACTACAAGTCAAAAAGATGATGTGTTAATATAATATGTGTGTATATGTATAAAATAAAAAGGAGAAACTATAAAATATAAAAGACAATGTAATGAATATGAAAGGTTATTACTTCAGAATCTTCAGACTGATATTTTATTAAACAGTTAGTGCAAGCATACATTTAAATTACTTTAATGCTACAAAACATGGCAACTTCAAAAAAATGAAAAGAATCTATGAATGTATCCTCATCATTGTCATGAATTCTAATAAATAGTCCCTTAAAACATAAATATAAATTATAATAACCTTCATATATATTCCTGACTGATTAAACTAATGGGAACATAACAATCTTGATTAGGTAGAAAAATCTAACTTTGGAATCTGGCAGGCGCTTATGCAGACTTCTAACTTTGGAAAATTCTACCATAAATAAAAAGAGGGGGGAACAAGCCATGTAATGCATAGTTACACAGGAACCACAAGCCTAGGTTCCTGAGTAAGACAAATTGCCCAAAAATTCTACAAAAAAGTGCGCAAAGTATCTGAAGAACTCCCACATGAAAGTTCCCAACATCAATTTATTGATCCTATCAATAGGAGACCATAAATCCTCAAAAGTATGCCTATGCCGCTCCTTCCTGCCATAAACTCTACATAAGACATATAGGCACAGCAGCATACTGTTTTTAAAAGATCACCTTCGCAAGAGTTAGCTTATTGAAAGCAACACAGATGCAGCTACAGATTCTTGGTTCTTTCTCCTCAAAAGTTTAGTGATTTACAGCGCACACAAATTCCATTTCAGATATTTTGATGTACAACAAGTCATCCTTATTTTATGCCTTGTATAAAATCATAAAAACAAAGTTCATCGGGATGAAGTACGATACAGAATCATATAATAAATTGAGAATATTGAGAGCAGGGTTAGAGATGGACAATTCGACCGGCATGCTTTCTAAAATTCTATATCTGTCTTCTTTTGGACGGGATATTGGCATTTGACAACTTGGTTGCTAGATGGATCTTTTCCAATCATTTTTTACTCTATAATGCAGAGCCAGTCGATTATAGAATACATTTTAGCTTAGCTTTTCAAAAATAAATCAATGTCTTTCCTTGAACTTTCATACATATTTGTCCTCATATTGTGTATTTTGTTCGTAATCATATGTCATATTAGGACTCAACTTTTTGATAGGTTCACAATGCTTCCACACACACACACACATCACATTGATCTTAAAATTGTACAAATTGTGCATACTGCATTCTTCTACAAATGATGCAATAATCAACTTTGAAATTAATTTAAAAGAAAATTAAGATTCATATCAGATTTGTATCATTCTAAATGTCAACTTGCCAAGTAGAGATATATACCACGGTTGCACCAGTAGCCTTGGCAACGTGGCGCAAATCCTCCTTCCGAACACGTCGCACAGCAATTGCACCAGCCTCCACAAAGTACTGAAACAACATTCAGCAAGCAAACAAGTTCAGAAAAGAAATACATTGTCACAGAGTGAATTCCATGTCATTTAACAAACTTTTAATAAGCTTATAGAAAACCACGATAACTATAAACCCAATAACTTGACAGACTGAGCCCACTGCAAATACAATAAGCGAATGTGACATGAACACTTAAAATCTCTACAAAAACCTACAGCCAACAACACGTAATAGAGATATAGGAACGCAGACACTCTTTGATGGAAGAATACAACACAAGTGTGACTCACAAAGAAGAAACCAACAAGTCCCTAGTTCACAACAAATAGAATATTATCTTTGGCTGGTCAGATAGGTATCTCAAAATGTAGGTGAAGTCCCATCACACAAGATGCTTAGACAGTTCTTTCATTCATTTCTGAAGACGTAGATAAATGAGATACTTCAACAATTTATTTGTCGCCCTGGATAACAAGTTTGGTTTAAGCTTGCTAGAGCAGAAAAATAGAGACCACACCAATAGCCGCACAATGTGATTGAGATGTGCATCTAAACTGTTGAAGGATAGACTACCGGTAGATACCATACAAGTCAATAAATCCACGACAGGGAATTAAAATCTTGCTATGGCAACGCTAAAACTACTCAAAACTTGCCTTGAGAGCCATATCATCAATCCCTTTTGTAGTCAAAACAACATTGGCTCCAGCTCTCAGAAGTTTCTCAATACGCTCTTTAGTCATATCGGCTTCTCTGTAAAAGAACAAGTACAGTTAGTCCTGCATCATACCAAACTGCTACAGAAAAGGAAAAGAGCCTATAAAGGTAGGTAAATAAATAAACAAACAGCATGATATGATATATTTCTTCTAGAAATATCATTGCACGATTACCAGAACTGTTGCTTGACAAGCATTTAGTTGCTCATTGATGTATACCCTCATGACTTCTTCAAATAGTATTTATACATTTTATTACACACACAGACACACGTATATTAATCTGGAAATGATGCCATCTAGACAATTTTTGCAATTCCTGCTATCCTATATTTAGTTCTCAAAAGAAAACTAATGCATGTATGAATGTATATAAATTGTTGATAGTCCATAGCAATGTATTTGATATGTAATGTAAGAAGGTGAGACATGCACTCTGCCCCAAGTATGACAAGATCATTTCATGACACAAATGTTAACAGAATATGATTTTTTACAGACTGGTCACCTTTGACGAATCTTTTCAAGCTCCCGGGGATCAGAAACTAATACTTGAACACCCATTTGCATTTTTGTCTTTTGAAGATTGAAATCAAGACAAGCAATTCTTGCAGGGGAAACTCTGGTTGACATTCCCTGTGCAGCACGGCCCGTATTCAGAGCATAGCCATTCAACAGGTAGCTTTCTCTTGCACTTTTACCATGAGCTTTAAGAATATTAATTCCCTGAAGAGTAACAAGGGAATCGCATTCTGAAATTAAAGTCTCACGACAATCTATAATATAACAAATAATAATCATTATATAAATGAAAGCCATTAAAGAGACCATCCACTGTTATATTTAATTTGAAAAAGAGAAGCTCAAACTAGAATATTATGTTAACAAAAGACAGAACCTTCTGTGACAACTGACCTTGATTGGATATCTAATTTCTCCTCGCGCATTGGTCATTTTTACTGCTTGTACTGCTTCCACTACCTGGAAAATTAATAAAATGTGTATTTTATTTCTCCACACAAAGGAAACTAATAATGCTTCAAGAAAAGAATGAATTCATTATATGCATAATGATAGCCACAACAGAATAGAAACTCTTGCATGATGAAAAATTAAAACTTTCTAAATATACAGGGGACTGTAAGTTTGATCTACGTATTTCCAGCATACAGGGTACAATTGAGCACTCAGATGCAGGGTAACTATTTTATTTGAAGGTAAAGCTTTAAGCTTCAATCAAATAAATTTCCGAAGTAGAAATAACTCCTCGGGGTTATTTACAAAACTGAAGATAACCGCCAAAACTTCAGTCGAGGCATTCAAAATTTTTGTAACAAAATTAAATGCAATCGTTTATGAACAGCCGCATGAAACAAAACCAAGAACTTTAAATAAAATGATGATAATAAAGACTCGGTAAAGACAAAAGGGCTGATGGAAAATATTTGGTGCATGAGTGCATCAGACCGCTCATTTCTTCCAAACTACTTTAGAATTTACTAGCATACATATGATGACTGATGACTTCTCCAACAATAGTGTGTGCTATTAAAGCTAACTTGCATTATAATCCATTTACAAATAAATAAATAAAACTACCGAGGCCGAAACAAATTCAAATTCTATATCATCCAATTAGCATACCAGATTTGCAAAGAAGTTGCTGTCACCAGCTATTAACTTCGAGGACATGCAAGTCTTGGCACAGTTCACAAGAGAATCTTTACCAAGCTTTTCAACCTAGAAAAAGGCAAAAGAATGACCCAGTTAACATTACATTATAGTACATGCAAGCAAGAGCATGAGGCATGAAGTTCAAAACCACTAAATGAGATCCATTAAACTACAGTAGTTGATAACTTCTTCAAACCATTCAAGAAAATGTTAACGAGTATAAGTGAAAGTAGAATCCAAAACAGGGCGAGTCCTTTAAGTAGATCTCCAACATGGACCACCAAAAATTGTATCAGATTTGATGTAATCCATGGGTACCAATGTGCCAAGTGGAGGTCATAGTACAATTTTGAAACTAAGGCATCAAACTATAGTACTTCAAATTCTCATATACATAACTTTCAATCAGATACTTAGATACATCAACTTTTTGACTTCTTCTCAAATCTCAACTTAGCAAAAGACCATTACCTTAACAGCCAATTTTTCATCAACATATTTGCATGCTTCCCTCATAGCAAGCTGACAAAAACATAAAATAAATTAGAATACAATGATAACAACTTGCATGCATGTAAGGGAATGAAAAAAGAAGAAGACAAAATTCAAAATAAAAGACCATGGTGCAAGCTCATATTTGCAATCTCAGGTATGCCTCATATAGTAACTTACAAAATCTACAAAGACAAGTATGGTCATAAAAATAAGTGAAAACAAATCTAAGAAACAAGTACTTACTCTGTATCCACTGATTATAGACGTTGGGTGGATCTTATTTCTCACAAGATCATTTGCTCTCTGCATATATTAACAATAAAATCATCCACAATACTAATAGAATCTAAAAAATCTCATATGGACCAAAAAGTCATTTCAAAAGATAATGCAGTAGGAGGATATAACCTTAAGCAACTCTGCAGCTATAATGACCACTGAAGTTGTCCCATCTCCAACTTCTCGGTCTTGAAGCTCAGCCAACTCGACAAGTACCTAGAAGAATCAGGAAAAGAGGAGCAAAAAACAATATGAATGCACAACGAAAAGCTCCAGTTCTACAATAAATACACGTAGTAAAACCATATGAGCAGAAAAAGACTTCATTTGTCCACCTTGGCAGCTGGGTGCTCAACTTCTAACATCTTGAGAATTGTAGCACCATCATTAGTAATTGTTACATCACCAATATCATCAACAAGCATCTGAAATACCAAAACAGCACCATGATGTGAGGTCAGATGAAACCATCCAATCGAAAAACAGGAACAATCTATAAAATAATCTAAAAAGCTCACACAAGAAATAACTTCTTTTTCTTTTTCTTTTTTTTGTTTTTTTGAAATTCCAAAAGGTATGTCTCCAGTGACTACATAAGCTATGCCTAACAAGTGGACTGCTCAAACATTGTTGCTGCTAATTTCCCATTTAATAAGCAGTGGGTACACAACCAAAACCAAACTCATAGGTTCACATGCACTTTTATAATTTATATGTAATTCAACAACTTGTACTGAGTTGGCCCAATTCTAGAAGGATGTACGTCTTGAACTTCTAAAGTGGATCACAAGTAGGCCACTGCAATTTTCTTCAACATTTTCAGGTTAAATCACCATTTTTTAAGTTTCCGTGTCCAGTTCACCATAGGGAAAAGTTAAGTGCTATGTCACATAGACTCTTTCAAAGTAGGTGAAGAACCCGTGTCCGACACACATTATTCGGACATGGGTATGGGATGGGATATGCGTCCAACACCTTTGGTTGGACACACACCTAAAGAATATATCAAATAATTCCATTTTATTATATTAATACTTCAAATAAGTGAAATGCCTATATTGGTCACTATGTTACATAAAAACATTATTTTACTTTTAAAATAAGATAGAAATATTAAATAAAATGAATATTTAGCAGTGCCCATTTGTCCTTCTGTTTGAGGATTTGACACGTCTAACACGTGGATACATACCCATATACCCAACACACGTACCCGAGTCCATGTAATATAGGTTAAATGTATTGAAGTGTAAAATACACCATGACCCTACAATATGTTAGATCTTCGTGTAAATGTGTGTTGGCTCTAGAGAAGCTCTTCTTCCTATTGAAAAGGAAGAAAAGAAGGACCTAACAGTGTAAGGAAGTATCACAAACACAAGAATTGGATTTTGGACATGCATGTTGATGAACCCTTACACTTTAGCACTTTACCAAACATATGTATGCCGAGTTGCACTAATGCAGATTCAATGTTTTGGGAATGTTCAACATTCCCTCTCTGATAAATGAAAAGCCCTCAATGCCAATCAGAGTTCAAACCAAAACTGTTACATTTTGATGCAGTTAAAATTTATTACCTTTTTAATTCAATTATCTCTAATAGTGAATTCCAATATTGTTATAACTCCTTCAAACTACACCAAACCAATTCTTCGCATTAAACAAATTGATATTTTCATGCACAACTTTTGAACTATTCCAACCCGACTCTTGGAATATGACATACATACTTAAAAGATACAAAGCAAGAATAAAGAATGCAAAAGAAAATTTAAACAACATAGAGCGCAAGGTTATACTTTCAAATTATATCCAATCACTCCACTAATTTTAGTTCTACAAAAAATAGAGTGGCTCAACTGAAGAAGGTACCATTCCAACCAACTGGGATCTATACATAATTCTTGTTTCTCCATTCTAGTTAAACCACATATTGTGTCATTTTTTCATTACCATATCAACTCTTGTTAATGTTAGTCTTCTCCTTCCCCCAACACTATGAATGTGGACCACAATCTTCGTGCACGTGACCGTACTCCTTTTAGGACATCCTATTTCCCAGCTACCTATATTATATCTTAAGTCTAACGGGTGTTAGTTCAATTGTCTCATGAATGTAATCATTTCTAATCTCATTATTTCTTATCTTACCATACATAAATCTCAACATCCACATTGCTACCGTACTTCTTTTAGGACATCCTATTTCCCAGCTACCTATATTATATCTCATAAAGTATGATAAAATAACCATTTTATATAATTTACCTTTAAAAAATGAAAGCTATATGTTATTTATGCATGATGCTAACATTAACTCTTATAGTTTTATGCTTATTTTCAGCCTAATCATTGATAATAAACATTAATTACTTTAAGGTCTACAAAATTGAATCACAATAGCAAGAGGAATCGTCATGGGACTTCATTACTGAGTTGCGCAATATCACTGTGTGTGATTTCAAACGCACACATACAAACACATTTTGTCAGTATCAAATCTCTCTCTAGATAGATCGAAAAAACATGAAAACAATTTAAAAGATCAACATATATAACTATAACACCAATCAAATTATCATGTTAAAATAGACAGCTTTAATTTGAGTGTGAGAGAGTGACCTTATCGAGACCAACAGGTCCAAGTGAAGATTTCACAATATTGGCAACAGCTTGACACGCCACAACTGTTCATATCAAGACGAACAAATCAGTAAGAAATTATCATACAAACTTGTGTTTGTTAGTGTGCATATGTGTAGAGAGAGAAGGATATTACTGTTTTGAGTACGAACGTCCTGCCCCGACTGGCGTTCCCCTAAAATAAAAGGAGATTGTGCCGTCATCGCCATTTTCGATTGAATCAAGAGAGAAATATAGGGATGTAGAAAACCCTAGATCAGCTCTGACGGTGAGTACTTGCTTCTCTCTCTCTGAGATAAAAAAGTTCAGAGGTTGGTGAGTTTACGAACTACTGCTATGTATGCTCCCTCTGGAATGTTAAGAGAAAAGCTTGGAAGCGAGAGGAACAAACAATTGCAGAGTGCTACTGTGTGCGTATATGAGAGGGTTTCGAAGGTTTTTCATTCAAAGTATGCTGCGACGTCGTTTGAGCTTCTATCGGGACAATTTTGTTTTTGATTAAATTACACTCCACCTCCTATTGTCATAATTACAGAGTCCTCCCATTTTATAAGAATCATTATGAATTACCTTTTGATAATTTTTGGAGGACATCATTAACATGGAATAGCTTTTGTACTTTTACCCTAAACGGTTATTGTGTGTTAGTTTATAAATGCTACTTGAGATATCAAATAACATTTTTACATCTCTATTGGAAAAAAGAAAATAGGAGGGAAAGAGTTGGGATGGAATAAAGCTCGGTTTTATTAGACAATGATAGTAATGAGGTAGGTTTGAGATGGGGGTGCAACTCGGACGAAATTGGAGGCTCAATTGTGGCTCAACTCAATATATCTAAATAATTTAACCATAATTCAACCCAACTTGACCAACAATTTGAACCTGACTCATCTTTTGTTTTTAAAGATCAAGTTTAATTTGGGCTTGCAACTCGTGTTGAAATTTTGGGTTAAATTTGAACTTTCAACTCGAGTTTGTTATTTTGTGTTATAATTCGCGTTGTTGTGATAACAAATTAAATAATTTAAAATCAACTGAACCGCTATAGACTGATAGTTATGAATCATCTTATTTAGGATGTTGAGTCCACGCACTAAATAACCAATCACGTGCAACTAACACAAATATATATCATGTTCATCAAGAGGGGTTCGTAGGGTTTTATAATTCTGGATGGGTTCGTTAGGTTTTATAATTCTGGATGGGCTCGGGTAAGGTTTAAAGTTATTCGACATAGTAACCCGAGCTTGGCTCAAAATGATATTAGGTTGCTATATTTCATCTCCGGAACAAAATTGCAATTTACATATTCCAAGGTCAAGAAAATCAAAGTTGGCTTGAGTTGATTGGTGTTAGGCTCGCCCGAGTTACGCCCTAACTTAGGGCAAAGGCCTTTCCCTGTCCCTACGGAGCCTTTAAACTTCAAGTCAAAATTTCTCCTCATTTTCTTACTCAAATTTTTAAAATCATATTTAAAAGTATAAATCAAGCAAACATTATTTCAAACCAAAATATATTAAGGGTAAGATGAGATAAAATTTCAATATAAATGGGATTGGGCCGGGGCGACTAGGGACCCGAGTTGCGCCCTAAATTAGGGCAAAGGCCTTTCCCTGTCCCTACGGAGCTTCTAAACTTCTAGTTAAAATTTCCCCTCATTTTCTTACTCAAAATTTTAAAATCATATTTAAAAATATAAATCAAGCAAACATTATTTAAAACCAAAATATATTAAGGGTAAAATGAGATAAAAATTCAATATAAATGGGGTTGGGGCAGGGCGAATGGGCGACCTTCCGAATCCTTACCCTGCACCAACATGGGTTTTCACTCCTAAAAACCATTCCCAACCAAAACCCTAAAACGACCCCAAAATTATTTAAAATGGAGCGGAGTGTTTTGCCATGCCTAAATAAGATAGAGATGGCAAAAATCCCCGCCCTGCCCCATTTGAAGCGGCTTTAGGGAACCGGTTATGTAAATGGAGACAGGGACAGTGCTGCTTTGAAAAACTCGGCAGGTTTTAGGGTGGTTTTGGGGGAGGGTTGCCTTGATCCAGCCCGAATATACTATAAATTTATTAAATTACCCTTACATACTATGATGTATTACACACAAGAGAAAACCCTAACCCTCATTTCAATTCATGTCTTAAGTCTTGTGACAAAAAAACAAGAGCCACAACTAAGGATGACAAAATCCCCCTGAGAACGGATCCTCTCAAAGTATCATGTATTAATCCTACGACTACTAAAGCACCACATCAACAACTTATTTGACTACTGAATAAACTAAAAGACAATGTTACCAAGGACGGAGCTATGAATGGGCTAACCTGGGCTATAGCTTAGGTCCAATTTAAAAAAAAAAAAAAATTAGTACTATTAAGTCCATGTACTACTATTCAAACCATCCATTATAAAACATTCCGCCCAGCCCAATCCAAACACATTTTTGTACTATTAAGCCCATGCACTACTCTTCATTTTCTTATCAGCCATTCAACCCATCCATAATAAAACATTCAGCCCAGCCCATCCATAATAAAACATTCAGCCCAGCTCAATCCAAACACATTGTTGCAAATCCAAATACATTGTTACCTTGAACTCTTCTTTTCTCAATCAGCAGAACCCGTGAACAATTTGAATGTTCAAACTAAACAATTAAAGTTTCCTCCCAAATCTCAACTTGGTATCAAGTAACATAGATACTTAAACTTCACTCTTTTGAACACAATTTTGAAGTGAAAAAGTAGATCTGTATGTTTATAATCTAAACCGTTCTCTACTTGAATTTTTTTTTTTTCCCCAGCAAATCCTTTACTTGAAAATTTTCTTTTGCCCCCCTTACTTTCAAATCCTGGCTCTGCCCCTGAATGTTATGGCATTTTCTTACTGTTTTGAAAATTTCTTTTTCGATTTTTTCAATCATCAAGATTGGAATTCAATTGTAGAAAGGAAACTACTTCCTAATATGAAAGTTGGATGGAAAATCAGCTCATCAGTCCATACGATACCGTATTTAGTAGTCAAATAAGTTGTCGATGTGGCGCTTTAGTAGTAGTAGGATTAATACTATATATGTTTGGAGTGAACTTTCCTTGGAGATGATCCGTTCCAGGCGTGAAAATCACTGTAATATAAAGAAGATGTTCCTATGATTTACATTTTTTAGTTTTGAACTGATTGAATGTGTTTTGTAACTCAATGCTGATATTTTTTAAAATAGGATAAAATCTTAAGAAATAAGACATAAAAGCCAAATACATATTCAGAACTTCTCATTTAAAAATATATTTTTTATTATTTTTTTCAATTTTATCAGGGCAAACAATAATGAGTAATTAAAAATGGATAATAGTTCTATGATAGGAAAAAAGTCCATAAATCACCTTAAAAAAAAAAAAAAAAAAAAGGGTTGTTAAATCAGAAATAAATCCAAAACCACATTGAGAGAAAAATAAATAAATTACACGTACACCGCACGTCCCCCACCCTTCTTGGACGGACCATCGTCAAGATCCCGACCGCCCTTTTCTTTAGCCAAGCCTCTTATCCAGACCAATTTACACACAGTCACACACTGTCATATATAGTTCCATGGCCACATGCCATTTCTTTCCCGCCATTTCCCTCCTCACCACCACCCACTTCAAATCCCCAAACTGGCCAAACCCTAGCCCTCTCTCTCCAAAAACCACAAAATGCAGAGCCCCTACACTCGCCCGATCGTCCCTCACCGACCAGTCCCTCACAGCCAAACGCATCCTCCTCGACCTCATCTCCGACCAAGACCGAGGCCTCAAAACCCAGAACAACCCTCGAATGCTCTCTGAAATCGTCGAAGCCATTGACGCCATGGCCGTTGTGGGCAGCGATTCGGTCACCACCGGCTCTTCACTCTCCGGCACGTGGAGGTTGCTATGGACAACGGAGAAAGAACAGCTTTTCATCATCAAGAACGCCTCTCTCTTCGGGACACAAGCCGGCGACGTGTTACAGGTCATTGACGTTGAAGAGCGTCGTCTGAACAACGTCATCACATTTCCCCCACATGGGGTTTTCTTTGTTCGGTCAAGTATCGAAATTGCTTCGTCTCAGAGAGTGAATTTCAGGTATTTTTAATGTTTACATGCTTTATTTTATGGTTTATAACTTTGCTAGTGTAAGTATTACAAGAAAAATGTGTTATTGTTATACTTATCAAAAAAGAAAAGAAAAGAAAGTGTTCTTGTTATATGATTAGTTGCATAGTTTGAGCATTTTTAAAAAATCTGAGAAATTTAATAATATTTGGATGTTGGGTTGCAAATTGGGGAGGGCGAGCCTTGGAACCACCTTACCATTGCGCCAAGGTTCACCCTCCCTGGGAAACAACCTCTCCATATACCGAGGTAAGGCCTTGTACATTTGACCCTCCTCGGACCCTAGAGCCTTTCATGCACTGGGTTGAAAATTGGGGTAATAATAATTTGTGTGTTGGTTAAAGATTTGAAGATCTAATAGTGTTCTTCTATTAATTGTATTGTGGGTTGTTTGTAGATTTACTAGTGCAGTTCTACGAGGGGAGAATTGGGAGATTCCATTGCCACCATTTGGGCAGGGGTGGTGAGTGCTTGATTTTTTCTTCATGTTGATTAAGTTAATATTTGGTGGTGATTGTTTATTTATTTATTATTTTTTAAAGTCAGTCTTGATCATACTTTGTTCGATGTACTGTGCCAAGTGCTTCTTTGGTCATTTTCATTTGGTTGTTGATTTTTGGTCTTTGAATCCTCTTGCTCACTTATTGAGAACACTGGCATTTGTTTCTTTCTATTACTGCTGTGTATTCTCTCTATATGTTTAGTGAGTCAGAATTTCAGAATAACTATTTCTGGTATTGCTCATTTCATTATTTCATTTAAGAGAGCTCAATTTATATACATACAATCATGTATACTTGAAGTTGATGAAGTCTTATTGCAGTGCAGAGTGTTATTTCACCCTTTGGTTGATGTTGAAGTATTTACTAAAGAATATCACACTATAGTTGGCTGTTTTCCAGGTTGGAAGAAGGATCCCAATTTGGCAATTTTTCTTATTATTGGGCCATATGTACCATGGAGTACTTACCTGTCATGTCTTTTCTCACTATCCAAGTGACATCTGTTCTGTCTTTCAGTTGGATAAACACTGTACTTGAACATCATATTTCATTTTCTTTTCATTTGTGTGCTTATTAGTATTTATATTATCTCATGTTAAATTAGCTTATTTAGTATGTAATGTGTTTTTTTACCATAGATTCATTTTTTTCTTATTTAAGTGCCCATGATAATATTAGGATGTCCAGGGATACTAAGTAGTTGTTTTGTGTTCGGAGATAAAAAGAGCAAACTTCTATCGTACTTCATTACATTAGTTTATCTTTAGGGTAAATAACTATGGCAAGTGACATGACCTTTATTGAGTGTAATGTTAGGGTAAGAGGAAGATCAAAACTAACATGGGGTGAGCCAGTTAGGAAAGATACGATAGAGAACTGACGTTGTGCTTTAAAACAGATTTTTTTTTTTGATACTCGGCCTTAAACAAGTGTTGGAGCGGCATTCACGTAGTTGATCCCAAAAGGCAGGAAAAACTCTGTTGAGTAGAGTGGAAAGATTACAAGGGAAGTCTCCCGTCCCCCCAAATATTTCTCGATCACTTTTGCAAACCATAACTTATTTCTAGTACTTTCTTTCTTGTCATTAGCTATAATTACATTGTTGGATGACAAGTTCTTAAACTTTTTGAATTGTAGCAGTCTTTCCCTGGTTTTCTGAGACATATGACATATTTGCTTTCCTTTCTAATTGATAGTAAACATGAAATTTCCAATTTATGCAGGTTCGAATCTGTATACCTAGACAATGATATTCGGGTTGTAAAGGATATCCGTGGAGATTATTTAGTTGTTGATCGTGCTCCCTATGAATGGACAGAATGATTTATTTTAACTTGGGTAGTCTTTCCCTTCCATCATCTTCTTATTGATATTGCAATTTTGTTAAGGAGACAATGCACATTCAAAAAAAGGGCATCATGCACTTTACTTCCTTTTATGAGAGAAAGTGGAGTGAGATTTTTTATTTTTATTTTTGAGAATATTGTATCCCTTTTGTTAAATTTTCCAAATATATTCTCACTTGAATTGTTTGAACTCAACACTTCACTCTCAAAAAAGCCTCTCTGCCCTGGAGTACTACCTGTTACGTTGTTTTCTTGCTAGTCAACTGACGGCTATTCTGCCTTTCTGTTGGATATGTATTGTACTTGAACATCATCTTTCATTTTTTTAATTTATTTATTTTTCTTTTGGGGGGGGGGGGGGGGGGGGGGGGAGGGGGTGTGTGGAGGTTGTCATCCTTATTAGTATATTATAATTATATCATGTTAAAATGGCATATATAATATGCAATGTTTTTTACCATGAATTCATTTTTTTATTTATTTTTGTGCTCATAGTCTGCATTCTGCAATGATAATATTTTTTTGTTGTTGCTGCAGCTGCAACCTTTGCTGTTTTTCTTTTTAAATTCCTCCATATCTCTCTATCTCTCTGAAGTAATTAGGGATTCAGGATGTGCTAGTTTGTTGTTTATTTATTTGTTATGGGGCTTTGTGGTTGGAATCAAGTGCATTTTGGTTCTTGGTGATGAGACTCGAGTTGTGAAGGATGGCCGGGAGACTATTTAGTTGTTGATTGTGCTCCTTATACTTGGACAGGATAAATGGCAATGCTTCTATCATAATTCATTACATTATTATATATTTTTTGGGTAAAGAATATATCTACATTTTGCAAATCAATCTGGTTGAAAATCCAATTATTTATTTTCTTATAAAAATTTGAAAATATTTAATTGAATAAGCTCAACAGTAGCTCCTAATGCAGTCCTCGTTTAGAAATGAACACACATTTGTATGATGGTGGAAATAGCACATGTTGGATATGTAAATGAGAGGAAACAGATATGGATAGGTTGGCTGTGTGCAACGATGACCAATAACCATACTGGTCATGAAAAGTGACATAGTCCTTACTGAGTGTAATGCTGGAGAAGAGGAAGATCAAAACTAACCTGATCTGAGATACTTTGAGAAAAAACAATAGCATATGGTAAAACTGGGGTTTTGGCCTTAAAAAGTAACTGTTTAGGTCAGCCGACTCCAAATAGTACGTAAAAGACTTTGTTGAGTTGAGTAGAAAAATTACGAGGGAAGTCCCTTTCCCCCTCCTTCTTTCTCCACTGTTTCTGAAAATCAAGCTAACCTTAACAGTTAACTTTTTTCTTTCTAGCAGTTTCTTGCTTGGCACTAGCTAATTATCTTGTTGGATACAAGTTCTGAAGCTTTGAATTGTAGCAGTCTTCCCCTAATTTCTGAGATATTGGCATGTATGCTTTACTCTTTGATTGATAATAATCATGAAATTTCCAATTTATGCAGGTTTGAATCTGTATATATAGACAATGATATTCGGGTTGCTAAGGATATCCGTGGAGATTATTTGGTTGTTGATCGTGCTCCTTATGAATGGACAGAATGATTTATTTTAACTCGGTAGTGTACCCCTTTTATGCAGTACTGTAATATATTCTCAGTCATTATTGTCATCTATTGGAACTATATATGCCAGTTCTTTCATCCTGTTATTGATATCATAATTTTGTTAAGGAGGCCAGACTCATGCACTCCACTCCCTTCTATGATAAGAGAGGCATAATAGGAAGTGGAGTGAGTGAAGCTTTTTTTTTTTTGGAGTGCGAATATCATCTCTCTTTTGTTAAATCTCACCTGAATTGCTTGAACTCTACACTTCACCCCCTAAAAGGCAATTTCTTTTCCCTGATGTTCAGGTTTGCTTGCTTTTGGATGGTACTCTTGGCTCTTGATGTTAGCCCTTGAAACGTCATGGTTGAAAGCGTGATTTTGTTAAGTCAGATTTTGGCTCTCTTCACTGTATAGTTCAGTCGAATCTTGCTGTTGAACTCTTATATCATCATCATCATCCTTGCCTTTATCCCATAGAGTCAGATTTTGAACTCTCATATCTTGTATATAATGTCAAGTTTTACTGCAACAATATGGGCTGCATTTATTCTTTGTAAAATCAGGTTTCAGAGTGCTCTGGAGTGTATATATTTCGTTGTATTATACATAAATTTTCTCAGATTGACTATAGAACTTACTTGTATGCTATTTTCTTGAAGATAATCTCATATATTTTGTTTCGACTCACTTCTTTCAGTAGACACTTGGCGTACAGGTTATATTTTTTGCTGAATGCCCTTGTGAAGTTGACTTCCTTAATAGTAGGCACCTGATAATTCTGATGTGTCCAACAAGTGCTTTGCTCTTCAATTTGCTTATTTGAAGTCTCCTCCATCTTATTAGGTGATCGTTTATTTGGATACTATTGCAATCTTTTTCTATGTTTATGCATATGTAGTTGTTTCATGTTGTAGAAGCAATTGATGTTTAGCAAAAAAATTCTCTTGCAAAGAGGAGAAGAGAGAACTGATTTTCGTTGGCTTAGGTTGCTTATTGTTTCTGGGTAGCACGTTGTGAAACCGGCATTGGTTTCTTTAGTAAAAATACCATTCTAGTGGTGAAATCTGGTGGATGTTGTACCCTTAATCTAGTTTCAAGTCTTCCTAGAAGCTAGAATACCATCTTTGTTTGCTAGGTGCTAGCCACCAACCAGCTTGCCACTCCCTGAAAAAAGGGCCGAGCACCACCGTGTGGTCCTGGACACTATTATACTTAGTCTTGCATGGCCATTTAGTGGACTTCCTTGTCTTTCTCTTGCCTACTTCATTTGATTCTTCAGTTACTTAAAGCAATAGATCAGACATAAGCCTGCATGGTTAGTATTCGGTTTTCTGAAAACTGAAAATCAGAAAAATGTGCAAAATACCTATTTGGCTGGGAGAAACCAGTTTTCTGTATTTTGTTTGAATGACAAACCACTGGTAAAGGATATATATTAATAAAATCCTAATAGGAGTAATACTCTTTGGGACCCTCGTGTGGCACACATGGGTTAATCAGTGATTGCTGTGTGCTTTCATCAATGGACTGCTTTAAACTCCAAATTTTTACCTCTTATCACAGAAAGTTGGGGGAAAAAAAGAAAAAGATTGACACGGTGAATGTTGTTCATTAACTCTATCAACAACTAGAATATATTTTCTCTGTATCTGTTAGTACATGCTTACAAGGAAGTCGAGAGGGGTATCGATTATGGGCGTGTTACTGCCAGAAAGTCTGTTGCACTAATACCCTTATGATGAGGAGAGTGAGTGCGCCCTATTTCAAGGACAATTCTTTAGTGCCTTTGTCCCTTTAGTATGTTGTTACTCACATTCTACTCTTCCAACCTACGTGGCAATGGTGCCTTGAGTGAGCTTGTAGGGATTCATCTTAGTGTTCAGTCAAATGTTCAATCTTACCTTATTGTCTGTGATTGAAATTTAGAGGCAGGGTAGAAGGAATAGAAAATGTATCTTTAGGAAAGTTAAGAGTTTCGAGTCGGTTTAGGTTTTCTAGAATTTTTTTTTACGTTTTTAGAGAATTGAAAATTAGAAAACTGCACAAAATTTTCTTTGGTCTCACGATTTTTGAAAACTGTATTCTCAAAACTCGGTTAGAGTGTCTTTTATAGTTCTAAACAATTTCCGTTTTCTAAGTTAAATTGTTTTTAACAATAAAACCAAGAAGATCGTCATTTCTCCTTCTTTTTTTTTCCCTTCTTGGTTGAAGAAGTAGAGGAAGAGGGAAATGAAAGTAGGAAGTCCAGGTCAATGCTAAACTTACAGATTTGAGATAGGATCCCTTACTGTCCTGTGCCGTTTTGATGCACAGGCATGAAGTCCCATATAAATACGCTGTCGAGGTTCGTGTTTATGTATCAAAACTATGTCATTTTGATGCACGCGACAAATTCTAAATCGTCTATGAACATGAAAATGAGAAGATTCAGGTTATGTAGCTTAGTTTTATCAGACGTTCCAACAAATCGACTTTTACAACAATGAAACTGAATCAGAAAAACTTAGTTACGACATGACCATTCCCATTGATAGAGATTGAGATATTGGGTGAGCCCATATATGATTGTTGTAAATCTTTGATAGACCCCAGCAGCATCCAAATCTTGGTCTTATTCACATGATTTGCAGGGTGAGAAGATTCAAATTCTGTAGTCTAGTTTCATAAGATGTTTCAACAAATCGACTTTAACAATAATGAAACTGAATCAGAAAAACCTAGTTAGGACATGACCATTACCATTGATAGAGATTGAGATATTGGGTGAGTTGTAAATCTTTGATAGACCCCAGCAGCATTCAAATCATCCAAATCTTGGTCTTATTCACATGATTTGCAGGGTGATGGCCCCCGGTTTGATCATGAAATTGCAAGGAAACAAACAGAGTGTGAATCAATGAAATGTTGATGGTGGGTATAGCTAATGTCACCTACATTTGACTTTTTTTATAAGCATGTACATATATGGGTCCCACAATTTTCCAAAAAATATAATGGTTGCTGTGTACCTTAGGCTTTACTGTACGGAATGAGTACCTGAGATGTACAGGCAAAAAAAGTTCAATGTCTGGGGCCTCTGTGAATGAAAACGAAAGATGAATTGTGTGAAGGAAATTTTGGGTGAGACCTTAGGAAATTTTGGGTGAGACCTTAGGACACTAAGACTCGTAGGAGGTTGTAAACCCAAAAAAAAAAAAGAAAAAGAAAAAGAAAAAGAAAAAGAGTAATAATAATAATAATGTGTATTTATTCTCTAAATTATAGAGAATGACAAGTAATTACGAGTTCTTTTTTTAATAAAATAAATTGGATTGTTTAATTAACTTGACATTTATAAATTATTATGACGTTAAATATTACGTGATTTCTTATTCACATAAATATTTGAATGGGTCATCCTTATTCACATAAATATTTGAATGAGTCATCGTATGTAAATTATGAATGTTTTTTTTATTAATTAATTGTTTATATTACAAATTTTAATGAGATGTGGCACCCAACTAATTTGGAATTTTTTTTTTCCCAGATATTTTCTTTCTTTGGCAGTGTCAGTTCAAGTTGGACGAGTGAGGTTCATTGAACCAGGTCTGTGCTCAAACTCTCTTGATACATCTATAAATGCATTGAATCAAATTTGAGTTTCATGAGTGAATCGAATTTGTTTCTGTCATGTTTTGATGCTTGTAATGGGCCTCATCATAAAGGGGTTAAAAAAACATGTGAAGAGACATGACACATGCCATGTTTTGTTGGGGGATCTTAATGGTTGGTATGGGAAGATTCCTGCAAGCTTTTGGATAATCACAGGTATAAGAAAATCTTGAATTCTAATTGCCAAAACACGGTTATTAATACTACTCGAATTGTACGGAATAAAGACAAGAATAATGATGATGGATAAGTTATTAAGACTAAAGATAAAGATAAATTTTTAATAAAGTATAAAAATAAAATCAATTTAAATAGAAAAACTTTTTATGAAATATCATATCTAACGAGTGATGCAAAGTCTGATCTTTAACCGATCCATGTGAAAGGAGCAAATTATACTGCTCTCAGTTCATTTACCTGCTTGTGGTTGATGGACACAAAAGTTGTGGTGTCTTCTCAGTCTTACCGACTTATCAATCCTTTGATATTGTGTTCAGTAGATGATGGGTCCTGAACTACAACATATTCTTTGAATTTTTTTATCTTTATTTTTATCAAGAGACGCGAATCCGAGTTCATAATATTGTTCCTAATAATAATGCTCGAATTCTCAAAACTCCCTTTAAAGAAGATCGTACCATCTGGCCTAATGATGTACCCATTTTTTAAATAAATATAAACCAAACTTGGCACACAAATTGTACAACAAAACCTACATAATGATTCTAAATGTCATTTTCCTCATAGTAACGGTGCCGGAGTTTGATGAGACCCGATATTTTTGGTATTGGTTGTTCAATATTGATCAAGCTTCTATTTTCACGGAGAGGTCGAATTCAAATAATGTGAGGGGATGATGAGTCGTCTCACATAATTCTTATACAATAATTAATAAAAATATAATCTCTCCCATTTTATAGTGTTTAGTTTAACCATCGATATATATGTCGTTAATAAAAACGGATCAAAATTTTTATCACTTTCCAATCAATAAATTTATAAAGATTCAAGATTGGAACGTTTGACAATAAAAAAATATAAAATGGGAGGTGGGCACGGAATTGTGACATAAACCTGTCTTGGTCTTTTCAAATTTCCTTTTCTTTAGGAAATTGGATGCATACTCATATATAGGCTATATAGGCTAACCTTAATTGTCAAATTTATGGCCACCAATTTGGTATGTATCAAACATCTATTTTTATCCTGTCCTAGCATTATTTTCAATGTTAATAATACAAAATTACAGATATACAACCCATGCTACCTCTTCTTTGGTAGAATTGTTGATATGCAGACTGATTCAGTACAAAAATGAGGCCTAAGTTAAAAAATTTAAACGAGACATTCCAAAAGAAAACTTACTTTGCTCGGATAAGACTTGATACATGGAAGACAAGTAAGAAGTTACAATAGAGGTGGATTTTGATAGTAACGGTAAGGTTACTTTATTGTGATCTAGAGGTCATGAGTTTTAAACATATATCAGGTTTAAAAAAAAAAAAAAATCGTCTCTTCAAATAAAAGTAAGATTGAGTACATCAAACTCTCCCGAAACTTGTTGTAGTGTCAGAAGTTTGGGTAATGATTTTTTTAAGTGTTAAGTTATACTCGAGAAGCGAGAACTTTAAAAGAGGAAGAAAAGATGAAAGATTTCACATGAATCTTTTGTTTTTGCCAATATTGAGAAATTAGAAAGTTGGATTTGGTAATTAGAGTGGACAAATGGAAAAGGGCATATCAAAAATCACAACACATATATAAGAATTGATATTTGCTTAGAAATATTTAAACGGGACATTATAAAAGAAAACTCGTTTTGTTCAAATAAGACTTGAAACGTGAAAGAGAAGTAAGAAGTTATAATAGAGGGTGGACTTTGGTAATAACAGTAAGATTGTTTCATTGTAATTTAGAGGTTATGAGTTTTAAACATTAAATTCAAAAATAAAAAAATAGCATATTTTCATGTAAAAGTAGGATTGCGTAGATCAAAATTTCTCCGGCCAGACATGTTTTGGTGTCGAAATTTGGGAAAGGCTTTTTTAAGTGATAAATTATATTTGAGAAGTTCAAAAAAAGAACAAAAGATAAGAGATTTCACATGAGTTTTTTTTTGTACTTGCCAATAATGAGAAATTAGAAAGAGTTGTATTTGGTAATTAGAGTGGAAAGAGGGATATCATATTCTTTAGCCACTAAGAAGCTTGGGGTGCTTCTGTAGTTGGGGGGGTTGGGGTGACCTATGTACCAAACCTATAGGAAATTGAAGTGACAATTGTTAGAACATGTCCTTAATTTGCTTCCCCATTATCTATCATCTATGACTTTGTAGTGATTTGTTTATCATAGATGTCAACTAATAATTTAGTATTTGATGGTTATAGTGATAATAATATATTGTTGATTTTTTCTGTTTTTAACTCAATGAGTACAATTATAGTATTAGAGACCATTCTTATAATTGAAGTCAGAGAATCATAATGTGGTTTAGACTTTGATGGGATGACAAAAATGGTAGTTAAGTTTGTTTTGGTGATGGTAACAAAACTACTTAATAATTTCTCACCTGCCCACCAAGCAAAATACTTACCTCTACTACCCTCATTTAGTTTTTTATTTTTATTTTTTAAATATTTCCACGAATCGTGCAATGCGTCCTCTTCACAAAAATCGAGTAAAGTTCAAACTATATCCGCGAGCGTGACTCTTGAAAAATTATTTACACTTCAAAAGAAATCGATTCTAAAATTAGTATATTATGAGACACCAAAATTTAAGTATTTTTTTTACTGCACCTTAAGATTAATCCCTCATCTAGTCCTCCATAATTTCTCAACACCTTCATATATAAATGTGAGAAAGCCTTAAGAAAATCAAATAAAACTCATTTCAATTCTATGTACCTGTATTGACACTAGTGCTAACTCAGTGTAAATATTCATAATTTAAATTATTATTTTTATAATAAATATCAATATTGTAAGTGTAAGGTGCAGACTCCAAGCTATTAATAAATAAAAAATAAAAATAAAATTGCAAGTTTCTTCTTAACGAAGAGATGTTAGATGTGTGTGTGTGTGTGTGTGTGTGTGTGTGTGTGTGTGTGTATATATATATTGCTATAAATAATTGGAGGTCTAGACAGCTGATCATTTTCTTCCCCACATATAAATTCTTGAACATGAAGTAGATGACTAAGATGAGAGAGGTGGACCCACATGATGCTTATCAGGTCTATAAATCATAGAATGTTATGTATCACACCCTATCTACACAATCCTCCAATCTTGAGCGTAGACCTGTTAATCAATGGTAAGAGACATTCTATAATATTAGAGTTTCGTAGTCGGGATTTCTTAATCGTTGAATCATTTATTAGATGAACCCACCACTACATTTAAAGACAAAATAATAATATTCACACCACAATTTTCTCCACTTGCACTTTAGTTATTTTTACTTAAAATTTAAAAGGCATAACTATCCTTCAAAATTTACTTTTACATTTCAAAAAAAAAAACATTCTTACATTTCCTTTGGAATAAGGAGTTTTAATATCTTTTCTATCTTCTACTTAAGTAGAAGGTGGAGAGTATAAATAAAAATTAGAAATAAAAGTGAGTGTGAATTTTTTTTCATGATTTAAAAAAATAAAAAATAGTCAAACTGTGAGTTAAATAAGGATGCATTTAAATGGGGTCCAAATAAAGTCCATAAAAAGCCAGGTTATTTACAGGTTGGATATACAATATTCAAGTAGAGTTATATTATATGTATAGCATACCATAAAGTCAGGTTATTTTTAGGTTGAGTTTCAATATTCAATTTATTTATTTATTTTTTATTTTGATAATAAACTCATTAAATCTACTAATTCGAATGCTTGCTCTCAATGAGTTTCAATATTTATTGTTAAATTAGGCTAACAATTTTAATTTAAACTTAATTCAAATTAAACATGGGTGGAGATTTTTTAAAACCAAAAACCTATTCAAGTTTTAGAAAATTGACCAAAATTTATACATAATCATATTAAATTTTGTTAAGAAATATACTTACACATTCATTTTGTAAAGTGTTTAATTTAATTCAAGGTTCAGGCATCTTGACAAAGGGAATCCAAACTAAGATCATAGGTGAAACACTTAAAATATAATTGTTTACTATTCAGACAATACGGTCACATCCTTACAAACTTCAAATAGTTACCAAAACAAGATAGTGTGGTTGATCCATTATTATATTCCTCAATTGCCAACAAGAATGAATTAAATGACTGGTCCATCCCACCTGCTTATGTTATGAAGTTGACCATTTTTTTTACCCTTCTCAAGTCAAGCCTATTAGTATTACTTTCACTGTTTTACCTTACCATTTCGACTTTAAAACACTATGACTCTCACTATTTTCAAACCCTGAACAAAATATACTCCCTTGGTCTTAAAATACTTGACTACTGTGAGTCACACATTGGATAAATATCAAACTAATTAATATCAAACTAATTAATGAAAAAAACATGTTATATAAAAAATTGTGCAAAAAACAATATTAGTGATTTTTTTTTTTTTTTTTGGTTCAAGGTATTTTAAGCATTTCAGTTTTAAAATTCCATAAAATGTCCTTGCTCAATTTAAAAAATGCATAAGATTTGAACACCATGAATATTTACACATTGGATATATAACAGAGTTTCTTTTAGCACTTTACCCTTAATTAATTACTCTAAAAAAATCTAATTACTTTTGTAAATTCATCATATATGGGTTTCCATATAATACCGTTGATATATTATTCTTTAACCAGTTGGAAGTTCAAAGAAAGTTCTAATAACTGTCAATTATGATATTATAATTAAAATGAGAACTCAAATAAAATAAAGGACAATGCCACTACGATCACAGCACATCAAAAGTAGCTATGTTTATACAGACATATGTTAAACATGACAATCGCATAGTTAATATATAGATGGTGTACTTATATGACAGAACATAATGTTTATTGAATGTTTAATTGAAAGAGTATGTTATACAACAAATTACATTTAATATTATTCCAACTATTCCCATGAATCACATTAATGATTATAATAAATCCTTCAATTAATAATGTCATAAGTAAATTAAGAAAGTACAAAAACGACAAAATTTATGAGTAGTTGACACCGTTCAAAAAAAAATTGTGTAACTCAATTAAATCAGATTTATTTCCTTTTCAAAGTACTTGAATTCTTGTTGAAATTTTCATAGGAGCAAAGTGACTGCAAGGAAAAAATTAAAACCATTAAAAATTAGAAAGGCGAAAAAAAAGAAAAAAAGGGGTAAGAGATGAATCTCGCAAGCTCATCTTGGGACACAATTGTCATTTTGCTATCTAAATTTTAAGGTTCACATCTCTCTCTCTCTCTATCCCTCCTAACTGAAAACGACTGCAAGCAACCTGTGGTCTACCTGTATATTTCCCTTGCATATATATATATATATAAAATATTATATATAGTAATAATATATTAAAGAGGATGCACACACCGACTCAAACCATTACTCTTAATTTATAAGTTTCTTTCTTGTAGTTCTCTCTCTAGCTCTGTCTCTCTGGTCATATCATCAATTGAAGCTTCAACAATGGTGGATCTTCAAACTGTGTGTTGTATGTGTGGAGATGTGGGCTTCCCTGACAAGCTTTTCCGCTGTAGCAAGTGCCACGACCGCTTTCAGCACTCGTATGCTCCACATCAAATACATACATACATACGTACATATATATAGATATATATCATCAACATCATCATTCGTAGTCCTAAATACATACACACACACAAACATTTATGTATGATGTATATCATATCATGCATGTGTGTGGAAGAATCCTTTCTTGATCATCGTTGTTGGTTCATACCGGCCCATCTCATAAATTCGATGTTTTGGCATCATATATATATATCTATGAAAACCCATCTGCATATATATATATATAAAAGAAACCACTCAACCACCACCACCACCACCACCGCCGAGGGAACATCCTAGGCTGTCTTAGTACAACAACCCATTATTATATTATTCTTTATGGTCACTATAACATCATGGTGTTTTGTTAGACGAATTGTTTTTATCACCGTATACAAATTTAATTAACTCTTTGTGAATTTATATATATATTTATGTATATAGGTATTGCAGTAACTACTACAGCGAATCATCGGAGCCAATTGAACTGTGTGATTGGTGTCAAAGCGAAGAAAGAAGTGTAAGACACGGTGGATCTTCCAAGAAATCATCACTGGGAACAGATAGGGGGGTTAACAGTAGATCTCACTACGCCGGCGAGAAAGTGAAGCAACGTGATCGGGAAGAGGGTGCGGACAAGGGAAAGAATCCCAGCGGTGTGCCTTCGCCACGGCCTAGTACTCGCAGGTACAAGCTTCTCAAGGATGTAATGTGTTGAGTGAGAGTAGAGGTGTGTGAAAGACTGAAATTTGTGTCCATATTAGTTTGCAAATGTTAATTATATATATATATATATAGTATAAGTTGTTTTGAGGAGTGTTTTGAGTTTACATGAGTTGTGTTTGGGGTATGGTTTCTAGCAAGAGTTGTTATGATTTTAATAATGGAAATTCCTCTCCCTCTCTCTATATATGTGTCTGTTTATGGAATTTTGAGCAGCTCTTGCCAGCTGATTCAGCTCGTGATTTTATGCTCATATGGTAGTATTATTTTATGTTGTTTTGGTCTGGTTCAATTTAGCAATATTTATGAAATTATTTGTTAATTTTATGTTCTTCTGTTATGATACTTATCATCGATCATCGTATGTGTTAATACTTAATATGAGGCATAAAATCATGGATGAACTAGCAAGCTTATCCTCATCCAAGTGATAATATAACATAGTATTGATATATAGGCTATAAATTTTGAGTTTATTAGGGTTTGCTTAGTTGTTCTAAGATTAACAAAGTAAGTAAATTCCTTAATTTGGGTTTTTTTTCAGTGATATATATAGTAGGGTTTATTGTCTAGGGTTTGTCTTTGTCACAACAGGATGCTAGGTGGAAATTGCAGCCTCTCTCACTCCTTTGTTGCGTCTCTTAAGGAGAATTGAATGCACTTGGATGCCTTTTTTACAAAAGAATTCATAGTACCTAAGCCTGCTAGCTTTTCAGATTCATTTAAAGTATTTATGAGACCCTCTATTATTGGTTTCTTCTTCTGGTCAGGTTATAAAAATTCAATAAATAAATAAATAGCAAATTAGGCTTCTTTGGAAATATTGATTTTGTTGGTTTTTGTGTGTGTGTGTGTGTAATTAACATTGAATAAGAGGACTAGCTAGAAGCATAGTTTAAACTTAGTCTAATCAAGTGTTAGTGCATTAAACAATAGCTTAAAGAGAAAATAAAAGTCAATTTGTTGTTTGCTTCTGGGCCATTTATTTTGATTTTTTGTTCATGGTGTGTACTGTTGACGATACATGTAAGTGTGTGGGCAGTATCTTTAAAGTGCACAAGCAGATAAGGTTCGATCTTCTCCACTGTGTCTATTTTGGCTATTTATGATAATAAACCAACAAAAAAGCTCTTCACATTGGGGGCATTGAAGTGACAATATTGAAACCACGACTTCTATCCACCGAAATCTTTTTCTTTATTATTTCTTTATTGCACCCATGGTTGTTCGTTTATCATATATAATTTCATACATCAATATCAACATCTGTGTGTGCGTGTATCATGTGTGTGTGTCACACACACACATGCACAGAAATATATATACTCATAGACTTATCCGAACTTCATGTGAAGCTGATTTGAAGATGAAGAAAACTCATCATGCACCTTATATATATATATATATATATATAAAAGCATCATTTATATATATATATATATATATATATAGCACTAGTTTCCATCTTCTGTCACAGTTTCCTTTGTTCTAAAACAACCATCGAGAGAGTCACATGGTTTGCTTGGTTTCACTTTCCCTCCTCTACTCATCCTATTTACAAGCAACTTCAAGTGTTCGATCTATCACTGATTAACATGCAATTGCCCTACTTTTTTACAATTTTTTAAAATCTTCTCAATTACCAATTCTTATTATATACTATCATTTTTAGCCTTTTCAAGATGCAAATTAAGTAAAGTGTTTGGCTTGCTTAGTTTGTAACTTTGGAAATAGTTATCGGAATTAAAAAAACAGAGAACATTTTTCAGAGAATAATAAAAGAATGTTCTCTAAAAACAAGTCTTTTTATAATTGGGTTTTCAGAAAACTGAACCAAGCAAAATTTTTTGTATAGTTTTCTGTTTTCTGATAACAAAAAACTATTTTCAGAGTTACAAATTAAGCAAGTCCTTTGTTTATGTACTATGCTGCACTTCTCTTTGTTTTAAGATGGAGACAAGGGATTTGTTTACAAAGGCAATAATCACCTTTCTGATCACTTCATTGATGAAGATTTTGTATTTTTTCATATTTTTCTTGTATACTCACTCATATTCTTCTCTCTTGTACATTTTAACTCTTTCTAATTTATGCTTGTAAAATTAAAAGGGAACCATTTTGTTACTATGGGGTGGGCTTTGGTGCAACGAAAATGTTAGCTTCATCATAACTCGAAGATTACGAATTTAAAATAAAAAATAATATTTATATATGGAAGTAAGATCGCATTCTTCAATATTAACAAAACTCTTGTACATTGGACTAAACTCTATTTCGTTGTTCATCTTATAATCTTAAATTGATGGGCACTGTCATTTGCTTTACTATTCAAAATAAATAAAATCCAGTAATGGTGTTGAAAACATTCCCTTTGGTTTAGGTTTAGAAATCGAGCTGTTTAAGGAGTTTTAATCATCTAATCTCCCCACTTCAAAAGGTGTATTTAATTCGGTTGTAATTGTTACTAAATTAATTATATAATTTATTTTAACTTAACAAGAAACTCCTACATACACTTTATCTCTTTTATTCGTGTAAGAACTTATACCCTTAAACCCTTGATTGTAAGGTACAAGAGTGTCACTAAGCAATAATCCTGATAACTAGTTAATTTATTGAAAATATGAAATTTGCCCTAAAAGCTTACTTTGATGAATCATGAATGTGCAGGGTTGTAACTTGTATTACTTATAAAATCAGCAATCTTATCTTATCTATGAAATTTAGTCAACCTATGTTCTATGACAGTTTTTAGCTCATAATATGTGAATTTAAGTACAAGATTTTTTATATTGTTATCGTATTAATTAATAACCACTAACTTAAAAAACTTAAGCCATCAATTTGGAAGAGTGTGTGTCCCATTAATTTCATCAACATAAAGTGTTCCAAGTCATGAGGTGGTTGACATGAACCATTTATTGGATTTGCAAATTAATTTTGTTCATATTATTAAAAAAAATTAAAAAGAAAAAGAAAAAGAAATTACAGATCTTTCTAGTCCGAAGCTTGAAAGTTTTCAAAGACAACATCATAGTCTACGGAAGTCTACATGTACTTGCAGCTCGAGACATAACAGGCTAGCTATGTACTCATAAGGTTCCTAAACTGCTGTCCGATTCACCATTGCATGGGTCATATCATATACATTTTGTTGGTGGAGGGACCCTGGAGTTACACGTGGACCTTCTTTCTTCTTACACTTATATGCTATAAATAATGAGAAATTCTGTCCATGAGTCTAGCACCCAGGCGTGCACATGGGCATTGTATGCTAAAAAATAAAGTTTGGAGTTTGGGTTTGGAAATTTTATTAGAACTTTCTAGAAATATAAGAAGTGTTTTGCTCAAGACGAATTTCGATTTGAAGGTCCCCCGAGTTAATTTTTTCCAATTATGACTTATCGCTCGCATGCTCAAGTACCTCGTCGTATAATTCGATACGCGACATATTGATTGATACGTGATCCTTTTTCAAGTCCGATATGTGATCCATATTGGGCAATTTACACTAACTTTATCCGAGTCCGTTATATCACGACCGTGATTTATACCACAACTGTAACCAATACTGTGAACCAGTTTTGTCCCATTTAATTATTCATTTTTTATTTTCTAACCCTACACGAAGACATATAATTAATGTACCCTCTTTTCAAATTACTAAATTAAAAGATTTATGAAAAAATAGAAAGGTAATTATGAAAATATTGTATTTAATTTGTTTGATTTTCTAAAATAGGCAAATAATTTGGAATACCCTTGTGATGACTTCTATGAGTGGGTGGGGAACACTGGATGAGCTACTATATTGGTAGGTTACATGGTGTTATAATCCCTCGTCGCCTGAAAAAGTGAAATGTTATATGTAAAGTTCAACACTCTTTTATTCAAATTGCATTTTAAAGCCGTAATGTTTATGAACTACCCATTCTTTAGTAGTGGTAGGATGAATGATATTTTAGAAAGTCTCTGGTTCAGAAGAGCCATAAGCGGATAATATTGTTCAATGTAAGAAGGTTACTGTAAATTGGTAATGTTATATAAAATACTACGTTGACCTTTTAAATGTGACATTTGTTTTGAGATAACCAAAAAAGAGAGATAGAGTCGATAGATATTTATTTTTGAACCGATGTTGTATTTATTTTGACCAATAAGCCAATCCAATGGAATAATCTCTTTTACTTTGAGAGTATACTTAGTTGAAACTGGACAATTTGTGAAATGCAAATGTGACAATTAGAGAGATTGAATCTTCTATGTCTCTGCTTTTAAAAGAAGAACAGATAATATGTCATGGAATATAATTAAAAAAGATGTTTAAAATTCCAACCTCTTTAACACACATTAATACCCATAAACATAAATTAGTGTTCTCAGTAGAAATCATCAAAGGATCGATCAATAATATCATATCGAATCTCATCATGTTGTTGGTCAACAATCACTTAGTTTGAAATGCGGATTGCAATAATCATACCAGTGATAACAATGGGGTGTTTTTATATTCGATTAATTGATAGTCAAGATTCTAAGCACGAACACTTGATCTCAATCTTTTGTCAACTCATTAAGTGCCTATAGATATATTATTGTGTGCGTGTGTGTGTAGGGGAGAAAAGGCAAGGTCCCAATTGGGTCAATCCTAGGGAGCCCATCACTAAATATGTGATGATATAAACTGATTATTAATAATAGTGTTAAGTGTAAAAAAATACTCTTGAATTTTTTGTCCTTTTGCAAAATAACCTTCTTCTTGAATTACAAATTGTTCATTAAAATTATTGATTTGTTACAATTAAGGGTAAATTCATTACAAAAGAATATTTTACCTCTCTCATTACATTTGTCAATTCTTATTAAACTATTTTTATTATCTTCTCTCTTATCTAAATATTAATTATACCATTTATTTTAATTTTATTATTATGTCAATTTATCATAAAAATTTAAAATAAAAAAATAGATTTGTAACTACTATTTTCTAAAATAATTAACTTATTATTTATAAAAAAAAAATTATGCTCACTTTTAAAAGATTTACCATAAATTACCTTCTTTTTCATGATATATATTCATGAAAAATTAATAAATACTTAAATAAAAAATACCTTATTTTTTATGCAATATATTTATTAAAAAGTAAGAAATTACTTAAATTGATTTAAAATTTTCTACTTCAATTTTTTATTTTAAAAATTAACTAAAAAATTAGAAGACAAATTTAATGGAGAACATGTCATCAAATTATTAAGAATTTATTTTCATAATTTAGTTTAGTGTAATTCAATAAGAAAAGTCATTATGGTCATTTAATAAAATATAGTTAAGACATTAGGATATTTTGAAACTAAATGTATCGTATGCACAAAACATACGTCAAAGGAGTTATTTACAAATTCTGACGTAATTCGGAAGATTTCTTACGCTTTACTTTTAATAATATTTATAAAACTTCTTTCAATCAGTACCACAAACGAAATAAAGAAAAAAGAAAAAGGAGGGTTGACCTTGTAGATTTGGGGTGTATCTAGGCTGCTCCTATGGTTAACTTTCAATAATATAATTTAATAAAAGATATTGCAAACGAATCCCCTATAATCTAAAATATTGCTTTTCCACTCTCTTATTCCCTCGCTTTTAGATTCATAGTTATCAACAGATTCTGTGTATAAACTTTATATTAAATTAAGTTCCACACACTTAAATACTGTTTTAACACTTTTATTTTAAATTATGTTTTAACATATTTATTGTATGTATTGAAATTGTGTTGGAATATATATATATATATATATAAAAGATGTGTTTAAAGTTTGACTCGTGATTTTAATGTCTTAAGATTAAAAAAACAAAAAAATTAAATTTCTTAAAAAATGTAATAGCATGCTAAGATCATTACAGAACTCAATTTTCTAATACTTCAACCTCGAAAAGTAGAAAGGTAATCATTTTCTTTTGTGAACTTAGTGGAAAGCGTGACAGCTTTTTGTTATATATATATATATAAAATCTGATGGTAAAAAATTGTTATAATTTTGAAGTATATATACTTTGTGGCACTCGATAAAGTATACACACTTTTATATAACATAAATTGTGTTTAAATATATAAAACTATGATATATAGACACTCCACGTCGTTTGTGAATCGGTTGTGGAATCTCAACAAGACAAGCACGATTAGAATAAAATAATATTTTAAAGTGGGTGGGAATTTATCGCTGCCCAAGCCTGCTGATGTACTGCGAGTCTTCTCTGTTTTGTTGGGCCGACAAGGCCCTTCTCTCACCTTATTATTTTTAGACCAATGGCATGGGCTAAGAAAAGTGGGCTTCATTTCTTCTTCTTCTTCTTCTTCTTCTTCTTCTATTTTATTTTAAAATTTATTTTATGTTGAAAATCAGCTTTTGTTCTTTGTTATGCTATATATTAATTTATTATTATTAGTATTAACACACTAAAAAAATATTAGCTTACCTCATTGACAATTTCTGAATCTTCTATGAATAAGATTTATAAAGAAAATTAAATCATTAGTGAGATTAGATAATCAAATTCTAGTAGAAACTCACAACGTTTTCAAGCAAAAAAATAGAAAATAAAAATATATAGTATGATTTTATCAATTTACATGGAAATAATTTATTCGAGTGGGCAAATCATAAGGTAATGATCAAGACCATATATTGCTCCAGATGGTATGAAAAGTGAGTAGCTCTAGCTCGCGTGAATATTTGTTGCATTCTAATATCAATAATAACGTTTCAAAATAATTTGACTGTTTGATAATTAAAATGTGTGCAGATTCTCAGCGGTAATGAATCTCTATTGTAATTTGTTTAAAAATTTTCAACACATTTAAATATTATTTTCAAAACATTTGTTGAAAGCTAAAACAAATGTGTTGTGCCTGTTTGTGCGATAAAAGTTGAAACACATTTTAATTGTCTTAAAATTCTTTTTAACATCATTATTTTTAATTTCTAACATTTAAATCGTGTTTTAATATATTAAAATACTATTTAAACACTACTCTGAATACGTAAACAAAAGAATTTTGTGACGAGCACTTCGAGTAGCTTATAAATGAAATGCAAATTCATGGATTAAATTTAGGCGTCCGAGTCAAACCATCAAATTAGGGCCGCCCTTGCTGATCAACGGCGGGACAACCGTGACCGTCGATAGAGACCATTGACTTTGACATCTGACCTGCCAGATAATGGTGAGTCTGCGTGCACCAAGCAATTTCCTTACAACAAATATAATTAAAGGAGGGGAATTATAGGGTGTAAGTTGAGTACTCAATAATCATATACAACGAGCTGATGATCATATCACCAACTTGGTTGAGACGGCACTCCTGCAATATCATGATTTCTGAGAGCTGGGTTTTGATATTTATGTGTTATATATATATATATATATATATTCATGGTGCACATCACAAATATTTTAATTGATGTATTAAAATTAAATTTGAAGAAAATTAGTTCAGTAATCACAAATTAAATTATCAATAAATTAGGATGGAAAATAAATCCCTTCATTTTTGGAAGGTTCTCGTACACTAAATGATGTCGTTTTGGTGTATGAACACGTAATCCAACATAAGTTTTGTGCTGAGACTCCCATACAGTCCACTTGGGGGCCTGTACTATGTACTACAAAGTCGTTATTTTGATTTTTTCCCCCCCATATTTTGATGCTTAAATGCTCAAAAAAAATAAAAAAAAATAAAGAATGCTTATACACTTTAAATTGTGAATATTACACCATTACAAAGTCTTACAAAAGAATATATAAATTTGGGGAAAAAAAATTACAAAAATCAACCCTAAAATATCTTCAGTTTGTGCTTGCTGATCATCCTTGACTCCTATTTTGGTTAGATATGTGTGTCCAAACGTGATATTTACATACACAGATACAACATCAAAGCCAGAATCAAAGTGGCCCACATTGATGATCTAAACTTTAAATCAACGGCTTGATTTGAAGAAATATCAGATTCCATTGAGGAAGAGAACTTAAAATTAGGGTTCGATCCATAAAGAATTTGTATGCCCTTTATATCATCAAGCTTCAAATCCACCTTTCTATTTCTGGGTTTCAAGCTAGGGTACATAACTGCCTCTTTAACAGAAGTGTGGGCTAGACCTAACAAATGCCCAATCTCATGTGTAGCCACTGATTCCAAATCAACCGCCACCGTCGATTGCTCTGATTGAAAATCAACGGCCCACGTTTCCGCAGCATCAAGGTGGAACCTCCCACTCTCGGGTGAAAATGCATGTGCCAACACTCCAAGCACCCCATCAAACGGCTCTCCGTCGCCGTGATCACCCCTGTAAAACCCTATCTTGATATCGGCGAATCCGTAATCGTCAGTCTCGACGAAACTCACCGGAATTACCGACGCCCACCGGCCGAAAGCACGTTTAAACACAACCCTTATCTCCGACAAACTTAAGGACCGGATCATATTTTCCGGCGAGAATGCATACGTCAGATTCATCGGTTTACTTCTCGACCACCTCGGTTGGTCGGTGAAATACGCGTAATGTCTGGTTGCATGCACATGCAGCGTGGGTGAATTGTCCGGTACACCGCATCTCGGTGACATGATCTGAGAGAGGGTATCGGAGTCAAGGGCGCCGGTGACCGGTAACCCTAGCTTCGCTTGATACCGGGTTATGGCGTGTTCGAGCTGGGCATCGAATGAATCGGTGAAATTGATAGCTTGCACCGGAAGGTACCCGAAACGATGAAAGTACTTCTTCAGCTCCGACATGCCGGTGACGTGGCTGCCTCTGCTAGCATCCAGGAACCTCTTGAATTCGTGCCACGTGTGGTTATGGCTCTTTTTTACGGTTATTACAGTCACCGGGTCGGAGGTGGACTCCGGTGACTGTCTGGCCGGAAGGAGTGGCAGTGAGGTGAGGAAGAAGAGATGGAAGATGTAAAGGTAAAATGGAAACATGGCAGTTGGGGTTGAAAGGGTAGGGTGGTGGAAATGGAGGGAAGCTTTATTATAAAGAAAGTATCAAATGTAATTATTATATATTTACCGGAAAAAATGTAATAATTATATGGATAAAGTTTAATTTTTTTTATAAATATAGACATAATTAGAAATTTGAAACTTTGATAGGTACATAATTTGGATAAGACTTATGTAATAAGTTGATTCATAAAAGATATGATAATTGGGAAGTTGTGATGGATCTTCCTAACGTTGGTTGGGTCTTTTCATTAGGTAGATTCTGACTTTTGAAAATTATTCTTTTGTGTGATTACTAAACTACCCTCGCCCTAGATTAATCAATTGTCTTTCCCCTTATTTTTTTTACAAAATTCTTTTACTATAAGTATCTCTTAATTTTAAGAGAATTTTAATGGAGAGATGATATGAAAAATGATATTTTTGAATATATATGCATATATATATATATAGTCAAATTGTTTAAATTTAATTTATGTAGCATTACTATACAAACTCTTAGATTAATAGGAAAGTATTCAAGAAAAAATAATGTTCATGATAAATTGAAGTATTGATAATTCGTTAGTTATTTAGTAGACGACTAACTGTTTTCTTGTAATTAAAATATATAAAAATTGGAAATTTTTTGTTTGTTAAAGACGCAAAATGGGTTTATAATTAAAGATAGTTTCTATTATATTAGATGATCAAAATTAAGTGACGAAATGGATGGTAAAATTTTCCACATGCAAAGGCTTATTTAGGGTGTAACGGAGAATCTAGTTTTGGCTTGTTTGTTTCTCAAGTCAAGAATAGCTAACTGTTAGAAGCAAGTTCGTATTGGTCGTTAGAAATTATCATGGTTGCTCAGGTTAATTATCATTAATGGGTCCTCCCTCTCCCTCTCTCTCTCTATGTATTTGTGTGTGTTTATATATATATATATATATATATATATATATATGCTGTTTTAATTAGGCGTGTGGAAGACTCAATGCATGTGTTTCAAGTCTGAGGAAGTCAGCTTTCTAAGCTTTGGACGTGTAAAGGACTCAAAGTTGAACTTCAACAACCCTTGAAGCTTTGAAAGTCATGTATAAACTGCTGCTTACCTTAGGCAGCTAGGCCAAGTTTGCTTTTTCAATGTCACATTTTTTTTTCCCCTTACTATACACCATTGATTTTCCATTTTTTATAATATATACCTTTAAAATTTTAGAATTGTGCTTACTAAAATTAAGAAAATTAAAATCCAATTACTGTTCCTTTAACATTTTTTATATGATTGTTGTTAAAGAGCGTCTCTACTTATGTAGTTTTTTAAGTCTGTCCCAGGATACACATTCATGATGTGGAACCTTTGTGTACTAAAAGATATGTTGATGGCTGGTCTAATTGATGGTAAAGTTTTAAACAGAGCAAAATACAGTAGCTTAAGAATCGCATTCCCATTCGGTTTCATTACAACGAAAGTTTTCTGTTTTGGAAAGACTAGGTATACATATATATTTACCACATTGCCATTGAATAGCCCATCTCTTTATTAATCATTACAAATTAACGTCACATGGAGTAGTAGCTTAAGAACATTTGTCGCTTCACACAGTGATTGGCCTTTTTAGGACCCACAGCTACACATTTTGACGTTTAAGTATGATTAAATTGTTGGAATTACGAATCCAGTTGGTTTATTTTAATAGCACGTCTCCGTCCCTTTCATTGACGCATATTTCTTCCATTTCATCGATTTTGTGGGATCATTCTTTTCGGAATGTCATATTCACACTCTAATACTTACAGTGAATTGTTTAACGGAATAATTTTTAATCGGCTATTTATACCAAATATAACTAAATAGAGGGTTCTATTTCCTTATTTATTGCATAATTGACCAATTGAAAGAGTAGGTCTAACAATTTTTTATTTTTTATTTTTATTATTAGATCTAACAATTCATTGTAATTATTTGCTGTAAGGATCATTTCTCTTATTTTCGTTTCTAACAAAATGGGCCGATAACAACAAATTTGCCCATAGGCCCACAGCCCGTTTTCAGAACATTTGGGCTTGTGTTAAAAACTTTCAACTCAATCTGAGAGTAGATTGGTCCAGCGTTAGGCCTGAGCTAGCCCTGGGGACATGGGCCACTCCATGTATCCACTTCACCTTAATTGCTTGCCATCAGAGTGTGTGTTCTATGCACATCATGTTTGACCAAATGTGCAGACCACTCTGTTTTGGACCCTTGTATATTACTCCAAAGAGTACACATGCACCTACCAGAAAGAAAAAAAATAATAGTGCACAAACGTACATAATCTCACAATGGCAATATCGGGTCTCTTAGAACACTTTATATTTTACTACCAGGTATATGTAGTTTTCTTGTTTCACATGCCACCGGGTTATTACCGAAAAACTTTCAAGGGAGTTCGAACACCAGACCTCTATGATATGTGGTGAGAGCTTTTGTCATTAGACTATCCCTTGAAGTTATACACACTATGGACATATAAATGCATATCCTAATTCCAATGTTAGCACATAGGTATACATACACTATAGAGTACTATGAATATTTTATGTTAGGTATTATGGATATCCTATGTTAGATTGACTCAGGTACGATTGTATTAGGTTTAAAACTTGTCGAATGCACAAACATAAAGACGATGGGACGTAATTAAATAGTTATTTTATTTGACAATTTTTTTTAAGTGTAAAATAATGTTTTTACCTAACATGATGTTCAACGTATGCATTTCAGTCAATTTGATGTACTAATGTAGTAAAATTACTTACTACATATGTTTTTCATATGTATACTCATCCGAAAGTATTGAAAGCATCATACACCTATGATTATCATGTGTATACTTCAGACTTCAAAAGTAACACAAGTGATATATTACATCCGATGGTCCACATACGTGACATAACTCGTATTATACCATGCATGTCAATGTTATTATAGAAATGTTATCCAACTTTGCATATTTAAATTAGAGAGTAGTGAATTGGTACTGTTAGCAAATTTGGTGGACCATTATATCCTTGCAATGCACCTTATTAGCTAATATCAACAAAACCTTCTAAGAAGTTACATACACATCATATATTAATTAATTGGTTCCAACAAGGATGATGATGAGTCCAATCTACCCTTTCACATGTATAATAATTTTGGTGAATCCTGACCGTATTGTCCATAGTGGTACCCTCTCAAATCCAAATCAGAGGCCTGTGATTGATTGCTAACATAAGTTTGATGTAAAGTTATCAATAAAATTGTGAAGTATTGGAGCATTTCCATGATGAGGGTTGACAAGGGAGGTTTGATGGGCCATGCAAGGCTCAGGGCTTGGGGTCCATATACAGATCAATTAGGACATTGGATCCATCAGAAGTTCAGAGGTACAGTAGAGGCCAGCACAGAGCAGGGTCCATCTTGACTCAGCCTTGATAGAAACATCTACTCTCCATAATCTAACCCTAACTATCTATTTTTTTACTACTACTATTTTAACTTTTTTTCTAATACTTTTACAATTTTAAAATGTTCTCCAAATTCTTTGCTTCTCTCTTGATGAGCCATATATATATATATAGATATATATAATTAAGTTTTGTCCCTTAAAAGTCATTTTACTTGTCTTTCTTTTTAGCATAAATCTTCTTTTTCCTTTGACTTGACATAAAAATTAAAAAAAATTATATTTTAAGAATGAAATGTTGTGTATTACAAGAGAGATCTTATATACGAGTATGCATAACATTTTAGCCCCTCTATCCATCCATTCACCTAATAGTCGAATAATTCAATAACGATTTAAATTCAGAACATGACATCAAATAACGAATTGAATTAACCTTGTAACAGTGAGATTAGCTTAATGTCCTTATAACCTTAAAACCACAAAATTAACACACTTTATTTGAGAAAATATATGTGATAAGCACAATTCAAGATCATGATAGTTTTAGTTTATATAACCCCTACCATATAGTATTGGATGAATCATGGGATTTAGAAGTTAAAAGTCTTGTAAAAACAAATTGTTTATGTTTACTGAACTGATAGCGTATAGTCCGGCATCAAAGAGTCGAGAAAATATATAGAATGGTCCCCTCTTAATTCACACAAAAAGGAGTGAAAAAAACGAAAAGAAAAGAATGGTCCCCTTCTTCAGCTTAATGGGTGATCTGCCTTCTTTTTTTTTCGTTGTATTCTTTTATGTGTTTCATTAAAAGGAACAATATTGTATGTGAAGTATCAGAGATCCCCATGTCTATCAGTTTCCCAACTCTGCGAGTACGGGAGAATTCTGATGGAGTTTGTTCATGTCCACGTGTCGAAAACCCATTTCATCTGGTACAAACTGAGTTCTAGAGAGAGAGAGTGAGAAACAGTGTGTTTAATTCTCTCTCTTAATGTCTTCCTGCTTTTTGGGAACTTGCATTCAGATTTCTGCAAAATCATTAAATGAGTACTACTAATTAAGTACCAACCAAAGTACGATTATGTATAATGATTTCATTCAATGGTTTGGAATCTGGTATGGTGTGGTTATGTAGCATGGTACAGTGAAAAAAAACACAGTGAATGATAAATGGAATCCTAAGCGCGCGCACACAATTGTTTCGACTTTTGTTTCAATCATGCCCCCATCATTTTTATTATAAATGAAATGGGACTTTTTTTATAAAAAAAAATTATACACATCTTACTATTTTTGACATAATGTCATACTTTGGTAAATCTTATATCAATGTTGTTCCAAAAGTAACTTTTACTTTTTCAAAACTCTTGTACACATAATAAAGTAATAAAAGTGTAATAAATTAATTAGGAACAATTGATGAGAAATGCTTTTTAAAGTAGTTTCCTTTTAGAAGTTACTTTAAATTGCTAGAATGATAAAGTTTGAAAGAAAAAGAAAAGAAATTAAAAAAGAGAGACAATAATTAAGCATGATCAACTTATTTGAGCTATATATATATGAGATGGATCCAATCAAAGACTCATTTGACATTGTTGCTTGAATTTAATCCTATTTTCGTAGCGTACTTATTCGTTTTCCGAGTTATATTTGAACATCGACCAAAAAATTCTATTAGATGAATACTCAATTAT